TTTTTTTTATTAGGTCAGCCTCTAAGAGCATCGGTGACAATTTCCGAGAGGGCACCAAAGACATCAGGAATGTTATTCTTGCAAATCGTGGAACGTGATTCAACGACAAATTTCAAGTTTCGATGCAAGTAAGAAGTGCTTTCATATGCAATGTATATCCAATTTTTGACAAAATATTCTGTGTTCAAGGATATCCGCTGGGAGAAATAAATCAACAGTGCTTTACAATATTGCTGCAGCGGAATATCAGCTCTTGTCGAAAGATCAACCAACGATAGAAGCGCGTATTTGGTACCAACCAGATCAAAATGAGGAAAACGATAATGCGACTGTAATTTTAACCTCTGATATACTGTTAATAGACAAGGTCACTCTTGAGGATAGAAAAGGAAACAAGTATGTGAATGCATAATTGTTTAAAAATGGATATTGTTGTTAATAATTAACACTCTATTTGCATATTTAGATGGGAACATTGTACTCAAAGTATCGCTGTCAATTTAGAAGAAAATTCGATAATGCTTCATCAAGGAAAGTGTACCGTTTTCTAAGAAAATTTTCGTTTATCATGTAGAAAATAAATTACTGTAAAAAAATGTTTATTTTTATCATGTATATAATGCTAAAGAAAATAAAAAACAGATTGGATAAAAGACAGATTGTTAATTAAACAATTTTTTAATAATAAATTTAAGTTGGTATAATTTTTTATAGACCACATTAGATAATTTATTGTGAAAAAAGAAACAATTATTTGAAATAGCGCGCGAAAATTCAAGTGCGAATATATATACATATATTTTTTTTGGTAGAGTGGAAACATAACCTATTTATGATCTAAAACTGATGAAACTACTAAAAAATAACTGCAAGAATGACACTTTTTTCAAGAAGTCTTTCTTCCTTAAAATATTCGAATCAAGCTTTTAAAACTGTAAGTAATTGTTATTTAAAATAATTAACTATTTAAAATGAATAAAATATGAATTACTTGAATGACAAAACAAATATAAAATTATGAAATTAACAATTCAACAGAATAATTCTATTTAATATAATTTACAGGCTATTACATTCCGGTATTTGCAAAATTTCGAGCAACGTAATCCACAAGTTAGAACTATCAACATTTTTACATCTTTACATAAATCAAGTGAAGTACAATCGTTACCAGATAAGGAAAAAACTCAGAAAAAAGGATCTATCTTGAAAAAGAGTTTCATCACATGGAAAAGTGTACTAGTCACAGGCGTGGGATGTACAGCTCTTTTAATGTACATGTATTATCTTCAAGAAAGAAAAGAAAAAGAAACAGAACGCGAAAGAAGGCGACAGTTAGGAAAAGCAGCAATTGGTGGAAAATTCGAGCTAGTCGACTGTAATGGAAAGACATGGAAATCAGAGGACTTTTTCGGACAGTGGGTTTTAATATATTTTGGTTTCACGCATTGTCCTGATATATGTCCAGATGAACTTGAGAAATTAACACAAATTGTCAATACCCTAGGTATGATATAAATGACAGTAGTTAAAATACATGTCTTAACTTTTATATTAAAACTGCTATTTCAGAGACGCAGTATAATACAAAAGTTCAGCCTATATTTATCTCTGTGGATCCGGACAGAGATACACCAGAGATTGTAGGTAAATATGTTAAAGAATTTTCTGACAAGATTCTTGGCCTCACTGGAAACAAAGAGCAAGTTGCTAAAGTATGTAAAGCTTATAGAGTATATTATAGCAATGGACCCAAGGACCAAGATTCAGACTACATTGTAAGTAATTCATTCTTTTCATACAATGCTTAAATTGCATCGTTTAGTAAAATAATCACTTCATTCTGGTTATATTCCAGGTTGATCACACGATAATCATATATCTTGTTGATCCAGATGGTATGTTTGTAGATTATTATGGTTTAACTCATAATGCTGAACAGGTTGTAAATAGTGTGAACATAAATAAGTACAAATATGACAACTTAAAAAAAGATAACTGGATTCCGTCAGTATCGCTTAAAAGCCCATTACCAACGTAAATTATTTATATTGTATTACTATACTTAACTATAATAATAGTTAAGTCTTAAATATTTCCTATGCATTTTTGCATTAAATGTTAGTATTTACTTTTTAGTTATTATATTAATTGCATAAAGAATACAGTTTAATAAAATTAAATAAATAACTTGTATTAATTTGAATGAAATGCGAATAGTCGATCGATATATTCCCTTCACATTATTCCCTAGATCTATTTCCGGTTTACGGAATTCTTAAGTATTCGATCTCTGTTTATACGTAAATGCCTTTGTGACATATTTGTGAACTACATTGTTGATATTTGAAAAGTATCCTTTATTATTAGTACCCAGAAAAGTCAGCGAGACTCTTATTTGAAAGAACTTGAAAAATTTGCCAAAAGAGACAACACTTTTATTGACTGAGGTTAGAATTCCTCGTACTTTGTATGTCATTCCAATTCTGCAGCGTGCAAAATTGTTTGTCAACAGATTCTAAGCTTTGAACTACAGTTTTCCTATTGACTTTATAATAGTACTAATATCTTGACTTTAATATGAATTAATATTTCGTTAATAACTACGTAGAGAAAGCTAAATCAAAATGACAGAAGATTTTGGAAGAGACACACCACCATATACAACGAACGAAGAAACAAAAACTGCTGGACAACCACTTTCTGACTTTTTATTGCAACTCGAGGATTATACGCCAACGGCAAGTAAACAAAGAATCGGAATTTTAATTGACAGTATGACCAATAATATTAAATTATGCTTTTAGGTACCAGATGCTATCAGTGAACATTACTTGCATACTGCTGGTTTTAATACAACGGATCCCAGAATGTAAGCAATTTACAAAATTAAGTTAATTAATGTATAAGCAAAACTTTAATAACTCTTGCCTCATATGTACATAGACTCATATGTAATCATTTTAGAGTAAGATTGGTTTCATTAGCCGCACAGAAATTTATATCTGAAGTAGCGAACGATGCTCTGCAACATTGTAAGACACGTGGAGCTAACCAAAATACAAAAACAAAGGGAAAGGATCGCCGTTACACCCTAACCATGGAAGATTTGACACCGGCAGTTGCAGAATATGGCATCATAGTTAAAAAACCGCATTATTTTGTTTGATTCAAAGTAGCACCTCAATTCATCTATTTTTATTTACGAATCGTCTTCAGTTAACATTCTTTGCGCATATATGGAATAAATTTCTAATTTACGATAATTTATTGTATAATTTTTATAAGAATTAAAGCCGTATGGTAGAAGTCAAGATGTAAAATTAATGTAATTTAAATATCGGAACAGCTTCAATCAAAAGATTGAAATATATTACTCTCTGCTCGAGAAACAAATTTAAATTTTTTTTTATTGATATTATAACAACGTTAATGTCAATGTTTCGACATTTGACAACATTGAATTTTGAAATTTCGAAAATCGTCGTTGAGACTTGATTTATTAGAAATAAACGACGATAATTAGCGAACATAAGACGATCCAATTGAGAAATTCCTTCTGAAACGTAGAAACACATGTTTAAAAAAAATGTCAGCTGATGTGACTAGAAAAAAACGTATAGTATTCGACTAGTAACTTTTTAATACGTCAGGGATGCCAGCAATTCCGCATGCGCTTTATTCCGAAAAAACCATCAGCCATATTGGTGTGTTGTATCGCTGTCCTCAGTAATTTCGAAGATCAGTGAGGTATTTTTCTCTCGTTTATCATCCGATTCCACTCACATATCTTGCTCGATGAACAATCGGGAATGCCGATGTGATACTTAGTCGGAATAAATTGCCATTTATGGATATTTATGACATTCGTAAGCGGGAAAAGTTTGGTTAATGTTGCCACCTGGGCTCACGGAAATCGGTCTGTTTAAGAACATGTCGTAAATAAATGCGTACTATTTTCACTGGACTGGGATGTTCATCAAATATTAACACCCTCCTCTGCATTGTTGCCTTGTTCGCACGAGATTATCATTACTAGGTGTTGATTGATTTAAAAAAAAATCACCTTTTACGAATACTTTGCCACCGTCTGCCGTTCTCTCTTACTTTCGTTCACTTTTATTTCATATTGTTCTTTTCTTTTTTTTTCATTTATTTATTCCAGTTCCATGCCTATCACAATAAACAGTACGATTCAGGTCCTCGTGACTATCGTTGATTATCATGGTTGCTCGATTTTCGTCGAGCAACAGGTAAAAATTATCAATACAATTTTCTACAATTCTGCCAATCATTTTGAATGCATAGGTGATATTTCTCCAGTCTTCTTGTTTCATGAGTATAATTCTATTATGATTTACTTCAAATCTTTAGGAGATTTAAATATTAATTCTATAATTTCTTTATTATATTTTTAAAAACAATCGACGTGCAAAAGTTTAAGAATATAATTTCTCGTATGGTCAATAATTTTTCAAACCATTGTTTTATTCTATAATGAGGTGTTGTATTTTCAGCAAATAGATCATCATGACTGATTCCATGAAATTTGGTCCAGAATGGTTTGTAGTTTTAACAACTTTAACTATTAATTAACGTTTGCTTATATATTTTATTTGCTAGAATGAATATATTGAATAGGTTGCGCAATCTGTCTGGAGACTCTTGCAATAGTAGCGGCGGTGGTGGAGGCACTACAAGTTTAACTACACCACGTTATCAATTAGCTGAACATAGATATGGGCGAGAAGAAATGTTGATCTTGTTTGATCGCAATTGTAAACCTCCCGAGCCATTGACAAATTTCTCATCTTTGTACGTTGAGAAAACTCAATTTCCTTTGGCACTTATACAAATGACAGAAGATGAAACGGTAATTAAACCACCAAGTATACACTTTCATATTTTCAGATTTGATATTTACGTCAAAATTTGAAAGGTATTTATATTTAGTTATAACAAATAGCTATATATAATAAATAAATTTTTTGATGTAAAATTTTTATAATAGTATAGTTAATAGAGTGCTAATTAATATTGTTCAGTTATTATATATTCTTAATATATCCTATATTGAACTGTCTCATGAAGTTAGTTTGAATCTAAAAATATAACACACTGGACCCCTTGTGCCAGTTCTTCATTGCACTCTCCTACTTGCTTTTGTATATTTTACATAATCATTACTAATTTATTACCATTCTATGATATATATTCATTCAGTGATGTAACTGTTATAAATTAAAACGTTATTTTTGGCTTATCGACAATGTATACTTATAATATTTTTGAAATATTAATATAAATTATTTGATAAATACATTTGATTGTCGTAAAAATTTTTTAGCGAATGTGGAATGGAGGAATAACCAACGCCGGTAGAGGAAGAGGTGGAAGTGTAGATCGTGGGGGGCGTGGAAGAAATGCAAGAGGTAGCTTATACTCCTCTCATTATTCCCGTGGTGTTAGTTTCGATGATTCAGGAGATGGCCCACGAATTGACAGTCAATCATTTCAAGTACGTAATTTGTTTCATTTATAAAATTGATACAAACCGAAAAATCCAAACTAATTGTTAGCTACTTCACGAAATAATCTCATTAAACATTATAATATCTATAAAATTGACAATTTTTTATATCAAATAGAAGAAGAATATATTTTTTGTATTTCATTAAATATATATTTTATATCCAGGGAAGAAATCGCCCGTTTGATAGATCTCAAAGTGAACGTGGTTGGTCAGAAAGAAATGGGGTCTCAGATCCAGGAGAATGGAATGGTTCTACTAGTCCTAGAAAAGAATTAAGTCGTGGGGCTAGTGGTAGTTCTCTTATGGAAAGCAATTGGCGGCGTCATCGTGGTGGTACAGAGGATGATGACGGTTGGCGAAAATGGGGTATACAAATATTTATCTCTACAAATATATAATTAAACAAAGAACATTATCTATATAATAGTTAATTTGTATTTTAGGTAGGAGTAGTTGGCGCGAAAGTGGTAGTATGGATAGAGATAGATTAGAAAGGAATGAAGGAGATGGAGAAGAAGTACGAAACACTGGGGGTAGATGGGAACATCGTGGAAATCATAGGGTTACACACGATTCGAGTCATCATCCGCCCCCTCGTACAACACGCATTTGGGAATCAAATCATCATGATAATCATGACAATCTTCCCGAATGGTGACTTTCTAATTTTTTTTATCACTAATCTATTTAAAAACTCTAAATATATTTTTCGTTTTTTTATATATTTTAATCGTATTTAATAATTGAAATCCATTCTAGGGCTACTGAAAATCCTAGTGAAAGTGGAGGAAGTTTCGATGCTTCAGGTGCATTTCACGGTGGGATGTATTCAGATGATGATGAAGATGGGGTGATTAGTGCAGGTGGTACTCAAGAATCAAGGACTCGGCGTGTTTCCGAAGGAAGTGCTGCTAATATAAAAAAACCTAGTAGCAAACCTTTGTCTTACAGCTCGACTCAAGGACAAATACCAAGTCGTAATACCAATAGTGGGATTAATTCAGTTAGTAAAGAACGACCAAAGTCCTTACATCCGCTTGATGATAAAAACGAACCCATTGAGAAGGAAAAGAGGAGCAGTTCTCCAACGAAACTACCTATTACAGTAACGGATAATACTCCTACTAAAAATTTGACACCAACATCATCTGAAATTTCACAAAAGAGAAATACAGTAGCAACAAGTACAGAGCATACGGAAACTGAAAAAATACCATCAACCGATTCAGAAACTGATAAGTCTCCTGCTAAAGAAAAAAAGAAAGAAGATGTTGAAACGGAAACAAAAGTGGATCCAATTCCTACTATAAAAAGACAAGCTCCAGTGCAAGTAGATTCTCAGAAGCTTGCACATAATGCGGAAACAGATAACGTGAGACAAAAGTCGGAAGATGATTTGGATAGAATGAAAGAAGAAGCGGACGCACTAGTTGCAAAATTGATGGCAGATGAAGAAAACCATAAGGAGAAGACTGCCAGTATACCACCTTCTATTGGTAACCAACCTTCTACAGTTCCACCTACTAATGGACAGGAGAAATGGTTTTACCGTGATCCACAGGGCGAAGTTCAGGGTCCGTTCTTAGCAAATGAAATGGCAGAATGGTGTAAAGCTGGTTACTTCACTGCAGGATTAATGTTAAGAAGAACTTGTGACGAACGATATACCACTTTAGGAGACTTGGTGAAGATATGTGGCAGAATACCATTTACACCTGGACCTCCCATTCCTCCCTTAAAGGTACGAAATTTCTTCGCGATCTTTTAAAATTCAAAAAATATCTGAAAGTTAAAGAAGATGCATAGAAAAAAAAGATTTTTTTCTTATCTGTTTTTTTAGTTAACAGATCAAGTAATACCACCTGTTCCTAATACAGTACCGGCTGGTATGTCTGCATTGTCGAAAAGTATAGAAGATCCACTTCTTTTACTTCAGTATCAACACATGCGATTGATACAGAATCAGCAATTACTTTTAAGACAAGTACGAACATCGGCTATAGCGAAGCTTTCTCAATCCGAGCATTGGGCAACATTAAGTCCTTTGGAACAAAATCAGTTGATTTATCAATATCTTATTCAGGATTCAGAGATTCCGGAAGTACCAATCTCTACAAATCCATTCGTACCTCATCTTCCGTCTCAGGCTTCAAATCCGGTTATGCAGCTTTTCACCCAAATGCAACAGGTACCAATTTATTTAAGTGAAGATAATAACTTATAAAATCATGATAATAAATGTTTCTAATTCAAATGTTCCGTTTCTTTTTCGGAAGGCTAAGACACAACCAGAAACTCATCTAACGCCAAATCCACATTCAACTACAACAGCACATCCACCTACGGTTGATCCTATACAACATCTTATACAACAAATGGGTGGTATGCAAAATGTACCGGGAATTCAACAACCAAGCATAAATACAACGTCAACTGCAACGCAAGAAGACAATCCTATAAAATCTTTGTTACGTCAACTCAATGTTAATGCAAACGGCCATCCACAGACATCTCATATCGATACTGTTTGGCCACAACCTCCACCGCAAATAAATCCACAATTTAATGCACAGAATTGGTTAGCGCAAGTACGTATACTTGCTACGTTTAATAAATTTCTTGGAAAAATATGATTCCAATCGACACATACATTGTTCAGGTTGGACCGATACCAGCTGTACCTCCTGGCCAATTACCTACATCATTATGGGATCTGCACACTAAAGAAATAAAGACTGAACAACAGATATTGGTAATTACAGTTTTTCAAGAATAAATTTGTTTCATCGCTTAAAGTAATATAATTAAAAACTGAAAATAATTATGGTGTTACAGGAAGAACAAAATCTTCGACTACAAGAAGACAGAAAGAAAGAAGAACTTCGAAAACAAGAAGAATTACAAAGACAAGCTGAAGAAGAGAATGCGAAAAGAAAAAAGGAAGAGCAGGCTAAACAAGCAGAAGAAGCAAAGCGCAAAGACGAAGAGAGAAAGAAAAAGGAAGAAGAAAAGAAACGGAAAGAAGAAGAGAAGCGTAAACAAGAAGAAGAAAGGAAGAAGAAAGAGGAGAAGAAACGTAAAGAAGAGGAGAAAAGACGAGAAGAGAAGCGAAAGCAGGAGGAAGAAAATTTAAGGAAAAAGCAAGAGGAAGAAAAGAGGAAAAAGGAGGAACTTAAAAAGCAGGAAGAAAAGCAAAAGAAGGAAGAGGAACAGAGAAAACAAGAAGAAGAGAGAATGCGGTATATTTCGCAAACAATTGTGTTTATTAAATTTTGAGGAAAATTTGATGAAACCTACAATTTTTTTTTTTACTTTTCTCTGTTGTAGGAAAGAGACAGAGGCACGTAAGCAGGCTGAAGCTGAAGAAGCTCGGCGAGCAGAACAAAGACGGCGAGAAGCAGATGCACTCCGTCGATTACAAGAACGAAGTAAAGCACCATGGGCGCAAGCACCTCGTACACCAGCTCCGGCTATCCCTGCTGCTTCATTAGCCGAAATTCAGAGACTCGAACGTGAAAAGAAAGCGGTATATTCTCAAATGAGTAAGTATTATCATTTCACACGATATACTCATAGTTATAAATGTTGGGTCAGGAAGAGCAGCGTTTTCAACAAATGATGCAGCAACAATTAGCGCAACAGAAAGCCATAGAAGCAGCTCAGGAAGCATCAATAACAGATTCTTCTAAAAGATTGCAATTTAAGTGGGCAGAAAAGGCTACAGCTTCTTCTAAAACCGTACCAGTGAAGAGCCTTGCACAGATTCAGCAAGAAGAGCAAGAACGAATCGCCAAGGTAAAGGTACTTATTACTTTTTCCATACCTTATGTCCTATATTAATTATAATATATAATTTTTAATATATTCCTTTAATTATTTTTAATTTATGAAGTTTTATGTATTCGTGTAAATATGAAAAAAAAGAAAGAAATTTAATCGTTAAATGATAATTATATATTGCTGATTGTTATTGCTAACACTTCAGCAGCAAGAAAGGGAACGCCAAGAAAAGGCAGGACAAAAAGAATCGACGAATGTACTGCAAAACGCTGGAATATGGGGTACTGCTTCTCAATGTTTGAATTGGGCCAATTCAAGTAGTTCTAATAATAGTCAAGCTTGGTCAAATAGTAGTGGTACAACTGGTTTTTGGGACGATCCTACACCAATCAAACCTTCTACAACCGCGAAACAATCCGTTAAACAGACTGCTGTAGCAAAGGCTCTTACTGCCAATCAACAGCAGCAGCAAAGTAATAAAACAAACAAGAGTAAGAATAAACGAGAAGAGGAACTGGTGAAGAAATTATTTGAACAAAACACTGCCAAGACCGATGATTTTACACAATGGTGCAACAAAGCCCTGAGTGGGTTACAAGTGTCTGTAGACAGTAAGTTAGAGACTTTCACATATATATTTTTGTTTCGTTTATAAATGGTTTGATGAGCAAATTTTACGTGTATACAGTCCCTACGTTTGTTGGATTTTTGCGAGACATTGAGTCTGCGTATGAAGTAAAAGAATATGTTCGAGATTATCTGGGTGATAATAAACAGAGTTCTGAATTCGCAAAGCAATTTTTAGAGAAACGTAGTAAGTGGCGATCAGCCCAACGACCTCAAGCACAAGCGGACGACTTGTGTAAACCAGCACCTGCTGTTAATCCTAATGCACCTACGGAATTTCAGGAAGTAAAGGTATTTTGAACAGATGTGATAAAAGCTAATAATGACGGGTGATATGTTTTACAAGCGCCTAAGTGCTTAACATGATTTTTCAGGGAAAGTCAAAGAAGCCAAAGAAGGGAAAAATGTACAAAGTTGATAATAGAATTCTTGGCTTTAGCGTAACCGCAGCCCCTGATCGTATTAACGTGGGTGATCGCGATTATGGGGAAGGTGTTTGAATTAATTCTGACAACATTAACTGTATTATGGAAATTGTGCAACGCTTGGCCCAACAGATGGTTTGTTATTTATTTATTGTAGATGCCAAATAAGTTCTAAGGAACCCGTTGCGAGTACTTCGTTAAAAGTATATAAGATTTTTCTATGATTATGTGTACAAGGATTTTATCTCTCGTATCCTTTACTCGAGCATTAATGGGAGCCTTAGATACCATTTAGCGTGGCATTATTTCCTTTTCAAACGGAACTGAAAGACACTCCGAAAGAAAACCCAATTGTATATACTACTCAAAGAAAAGATACTTCATAAAACAAGGCGAAATCATCTCCTATTTACGCGGTATACATATAAATATAAATAAATATATATATTATATATATATGTATACATACTATATACATATATAGTATTAACACATTTTGTAATATTTCATTTTCATTATTGTAAGTAAAGAAATTATGCCGATCGATAACTTGTACACGCGGAAACATCGCAGTCGAAAGCAATATGTGCTCATGAAGGTGTTCGCAAGCAAAAATAAATTGTTAATACGTAGTCGTGATTAAAAGAACATCGATAAAGCACGATGTTGACGAAGTACATTGATATTTGCTTGTATCGAGTGCACCAAGTATGATAATATATAAATCCTATGGATTTCTTGCTTTATCGCAACATCACGATAAAGATGCAACTTTGCCTTGGATTATATTTCGCTACTACGTTTTAAGAAAATTATTATCTTATGTTTGATATATTGAATAACTTTTTTTTTTTAACCAATTTGCGACTGTTTTTAAGAGTAAACTAATAATATTTTGACTGAACGATTGAATGCTAGCAACAATTCGAACAATGAATTATATATTATAGAACCAATTGCTCCTTACTCCGAAGTCTTGTTTACAACCGTAAATAAAGTATCTTATTAAAAAAAAAAAAAGAAAACTGTATGTTTCAAGGCAGTGACATTGCGAAGAAAAAGAAGCTCTTGTACTTTCTTAACACTTTGAATACAATGGTATATTTAAAAGAAAAAAAATAGTACTTGCATGTTGTACGATTTATAAACAAAATAAACTATCTTCCATTCTCCTGTTTTGCACCAGAAAAAAAAAATATGAAAGTAAGCTCATGTAATGTTAGGGACGTGTCGATTTTGAAAAATTTACATAGCACATAAGGAAATTTCAGATTGATTACTGCGTGTGCCTACGTGTGGATCTCACTCTCGTCGGCATAGCCTTCTTATATGTTGAGGTCAATCTAACGATAAATATTTAACAAAGAGTTTTATGTAAGATTTTAATTAATGCAATATTTAAAACCAGTATCTTTTGTAAAGTTTTAATTATAATTATAAGTGTAAATGAAGTGTCCCACCTCTAACAAGGAGTTCAAGGAGAAAACTTTTAGCACCTGTTTGAAAAATATTGATTTTTTTCTTTTTTTATTCTTAATTGAACTAATTTTCGGACAAAGTGACACGTGAATACTCTGTTTATAAGTGCGGAAAATGTTGCGACAGATCTGCCCACTCTTAATATTATAATGGTTGTTAATTAGGATCATTGACCTTCTCTCAATACAAAAAAAAAAGTATTTTCAGAAGATCATAGATCCTTACATGAAAGATTTATGTATAAATAGATAAATGTACAGTAATACAAGGATAATTAAATAGACAAAAAACAGATCATTGAGATATTGTATTAATATTATTATTGTATCTAACGTACAACATATAATAAAATAAATATTATTATATTTTCAATTTGATCTTATTATTTTTTAGGCATTAAAACTAATATAACAGCCAATGTAAAGAAAAATACAATTGACAGTACATTTTGCATATAAGCATTGCAACTATAAAATTATGCAAATTCATAAATCAATCATATAATAATTAAAACAAAGTTTGATGAGAAAACAATAAAATAACTTTACACTACTTTAATTTTTTTTAACAATTTGTACTTTGGACACTATATTTCATTTTTTATACATATACATTTATACAACATGAAAATATGCTATCAAAAGAATATTAAGAAATATTTTTACAAATAGTCAGTTGATTCTCTCATGTGAAAAGGTATATTAAATGCAATATTATTAACAACCATCGTATTGATAGGAATGTATTGGTATATAAAACACATACTATTAAAATGTTCATATCATTTTTGTATATCTTGAAAATCAAGTATTAGTCCTCTTTTTCGTCTCCACGAGAGTGTATAACATTAATTTCGACATAATCTTTTGCAATGTCAATGTACTAAAAAAATTATTATATTTGTTAATAAGTTAATATTTGATACTAAATATTGTATTTAGTTGAAAAAGTTTCAGCCTACCTTTCGTGGTACAAGAATTTCTAAAACTTGTAAAATAATGTAGCACAATGATACAACAAGTAAATAGGGCAATACTCCACTCTGAATGTAACTTGCTAATTGTTGACCTAAATTTTTTTTACTTTCTTCTTTTACTAAATTATAAACTATTTCAGTCCTTTTAGTAATATTAAACCAGTTATAAAATAAACTTATTCTTCTGTGCATTTCAAATGGACATCTAACATTTCCTTCTTTATAGTCTGTTATAGCTGATTCTAGCCCACTAACAAGAGCAGGTATTGTAGGTTCTACTAGATAAATTAAATCAGGTGGCAATACTTCCGGTATACCACCGACCTTTGTTGAAACAACTTGTAAACTAGAATAAATGGAAACATTATGTCGATATATGCAATATAAGAATAACCATTTTCTTGGCATTATAGTAGAACTTTGACTGATGTTTTACCCGCACGATGCAGCTTCAACAATTGCCATACAATATGCTTCTGTCAGGCTTGTATTCAGAAATATATGACCTTTGTTCAATACATGTCTTATTTGAGAATGCTCCAAACTTCCAAGTAATGTAACCCTGTGTTGTAACAAGTTTCTTTCTCGTACTTCTTCTATGAGCCATCTTTTGGGACCATCTCCAGCAATTAGAAATTGCACATTCTCGTACCGACTACAAAGATCGGGTATAATACGAGCTAATAAATCGACACCTTTGCGATATACTAATCGCGACACTATGACTATTGTAACTATAATTAATAATAGATAACGTTAGTAACATTATGTATCTCTCATCAATTCCATTGATTCGTGTACCACATGAAAACAGAAAAGAACTTACTAAAATTATCATCTCGTTTACTAGTGTCAGGCATAAATAAAGTAGTATCGACTGCATTCGGAATGACAGAAACTTTCTCTTTCAAAACTTTTGCCCTTAGTACTGTATTCTCTTTTCCAGTATGCGATACACATATACAATGATTGCAATCGGCTAATGATATCTCTAAAAATTTATTTGTTAAAATCGCAGAGGCATCCGCGAAACCAAAAAGCGAATGATCTGTAAAAATAGTCTGAAATCCCAGCAAACAAAAATCAATGTAACATATGAACATATATTTGTCAGTGAGTGAAAAACCACTTACTTTCAATCCCATTAAACGGCCAATTAGCATCCCTTCATGAGCAAGAGCAGAGAATGCAGAATGACCATGAACTATTTGAATTTCTTCTCTCAGGAAGATATATCTAATAAGGGGTATTGAACAGATCATTGTTGGAAGAACACATTGATTGTAGAACACTTTTACTGGTATGTAGTATACCTTAAACATAAAATTGTATATTTTTATCACTGATAAAATGATACATGCTATAATATAAAATATAATACTTGTTATAGTATAAAATACAATACATATTATACATACTTTCAACCCATTTGTCATATAACGTATACCAATTCTATCACCGTAAGAATGTGTGAGCACTACAACTTTGTGTCCACGTCCCATTAAACATTGAGATAAATTAAAGATATGTTCCTCAACGCCACCCATATTGGGATAAAAAAAGTCAGACACCATGCTGTAAAATTGAATCAGACATCAAAGTCCATTTTCTTTCAAAGCATGTTTTATACTGTGATAAAGATCCTATTCCTGCTTGGAGTATTTTGAATTATATTTTGAACAATAAAATAAATACAAACCATATCTTGTGTTTTATGGCATTCATAGCGACGGCTAAATTGCAACATGACTCATATAGTGAGATGCGTGCTATTCGTTGAATCTAATTAAGAACGTCTCAAGTGTCTGATAACATTTTACGTTGATGGATGTGCGAACAGCACACGTCGATAAGTTCATCATATTGTAAACTTTATTAAATAATTCTCATATCGCTAAATACCGTATCGAGTTAGAATTAATAAACTCTCAGGCAATCGGTCTTATTTTTCATCGTGAAACATTCAAATACAATGAATGTTTTACTACGTAAAAAATCAGAGGTTATAAAAACTCCTTCAAATTTTTCATGACACACTTATAAAATTGACATCTCTCGTTCTTTGAATTTTAATTAAAACCATCGAAGTATTCATGCCTTTGGAATACGTTCAGCATGAACAAATTCCAATTTGCAAATTCATTGTCAACGAAGTAAAAACAAAGGAGACGAACATATTCAAATCGAACAAAAACGATTCGACTTCTCACTAAAATCAATGAGTTTCGAGGTTCTGTATCTCGAAGATCGATATCCGCTTAAGCGAGAAGATTGAATTCTTTCTCAATTTACCATATGGCACGTAATTCAAAAAGTCTAGCAAAAAAGTCGCTTCTTCTCTATTGAAGTTTATTTGTAAAAATTTCTGACATACTATAAATTGTATTTCCAAATGATGTTTTAAAATGTAAACTTCTTTTCATTTCTATTTTACCATTTTACTATTTTATCACTATCAGTAAAATATAGATAATTATAGATAATACTGATTAGGTAATAAAAGTATAATAGATAATAATAATAATAATAATAATAATAATAATAATAATAATAATAATAATAATAATAATATTGTCAGATTAGCATCATTCAATAAAAAAGAGATTTAAAAAAAAGTCATTGTAAAGTGGTGTGTGTACAAGGTATCTTAGTGCAATCACTTAAATATCTGCATATTTATTGTTGTGTGAAAATCTTTTCAGAACAAAGTTACACTACAGAGGCTACATTAAACTTATATCATATAGCTACATTAAAGTTATTATTCTCAAGGAGATTTTATCAGTGATTTCTTTTAAACGAAACTACATATTGTTTTCCAATATTTTTACAGAGTATAAAAAGAAATTCAACGATCGTATTTAATCTCAAGCATTTTTACCTGAAAGCATACAATCATAATTTGTCATGTATTTATACAGCAGAGTAAATTATAACATTTGTATCTGAATATAAATATCAAGATGTTATTGAATTATCAATCTGCTGAACGATTGGTTGGTCTTTCTTCAATTTTATTATCATGTTAGGTATTAACTATTTTATTAATGCTTAATATGATAACAAATAATATATTATTATCTTGTGTAATATATTTATTATTTTATTATATTTTTAGTATATTATTTTATTATAGTATTTTTATTATTTTATGTAATGAAGTATGAAAGTGCATCGAATAACTCAATAAGATAGGTGTTGCACAGGTATTTGGAAAACTAATTATTTTCAAACGCAAATAATGCAAATAGTATGATCATTAGGTTCGTCGAATTTGTTTTTTCATGCAAATGTATTGGGAAAAGATATGCGACTCCGTGTGGAAAATTACTGACGATCTTAAAATCTCGTAAAAGATCATCTTGAGAAAAATTGATTTCTGCCATTCGTAACCTTTAAGGTCTAACCTCTTAAGACATTTTTTCAAGCAATAAATAATGCAGATATTTGAGTGATTCTATTTAATTGAGACACCCTCTATAATTCGTCCTATCTTATCTATACAGTTGCAATTGTAACATCGTTTATGACTGTGCGTGGAGAGAGAAAGAGAGAGAGCGTGTGGGATACACACATACACAGAGCAAGACGGTGCAGAAATGCATTAGTTAAGAGAAGATAGAAAGATAGTGGAAAGGAGAAGGCAATGTACGGTTTGCTTATATATGGACGGTCGGTGAATAACAAATGGTCGACATGTTTCATCAACGATGCGGTCACCGTGTAACTTTGACAAACAACAATTGCACGGCAATACGAGATTTCTCAGAATATAACCATGGATTGGTGCTCAGCGCAGAACCGCTTAAGGATGACGAGCTGTTCGAAGTCCGCATCGATAAAAAGGTACCGAGTGGCGAGCTTCAAACTTACCCACTTTGCTAGTACATCGCTAGTTCGCACATCTGTCAAAACGTTGTTTACTACAATGTTGATAACTTGAATTTTTATCGTTGAATCATTGTTCATATTTAAGATCTACACGTATACCATGCTCCTGTTCCAAAACATATATATTATCAAAAAATCAAGTTGTTAGTACAAACCGATACTTTGTTCCCTGCCCTTGATCATTATTTTTAACGACTTGCTTGTAAATTTACCGCTTTGTTAAATTTAAGATTAATACACATTCGTGAATTACAGCCTTAAGATTTAATTATCTTTATAGAAATACAATTGGCAAATAAATGTGCCGATAGAAAACTGAAAATTTTTACATACAGTATTATTTTGTATGAAATTATTTGTTGAGTTCAAATAATGTTATGCAGATGACATCATGGAGTGGTAGTATAGAAATTGGTGTGACGGAATGTGATCCAGAAATAATAGAATTGCCAGCTTGTGCCACTAATCTTCGTCAAGGAACATGGATTATGTTTGATTCTGGTATAATGCATGATGGAATAAGGACAGTAGAAATGTATGGAATGGATTTAAACGAATTACAAGAAGGAAGTACTTTAGGAGTAATGAGAACATCTAATGTAAGTTTTTTTTTGTATATATATATAAATCATTATATATATATATAATCATTATATATATATAAATCATTTTGTATATTAGTATTTAATGCTTGTTTTAAATAATTATTTCATTCACTGTTTGTTTTCTTTTAATTACAGCATGAATTAATATTTTATATCAATGGTGTCTCTCAAGGAGTAGCTGTTTCCAATATTCCAGAACGCATCTTTGCAGTTGTAGACATGTATGGTGATTGTGTGCAAGTGACTATAACTCACCCACAAATTGCCTCTGTCCTGTGCAATGAGCCAAAAGACGAAGTTGAAATTAATAATGATTTTGCTCTTGGAGAAGCATCTAATTCTTCTACAACTAATCTAGTCGCTAATTTGAATGTTAATTTAAATGTTAATGTTAATGTTAATTTACCTAAGAATCCAACTCCTGCAGCTATTAGAGAGGATAGATTGAGGTTTCACGAAAGAGTTGGTTCACTTGTAAAGTTGACTAACAATGCCAGAACTGCAGAAAGGCGAAGACCTTTAGACGAATTTAATAACGGAGTTGTAATGACTCACAGGCCATTAAGGGATAATGAATTATTCGAGGTAAATCAGGAGAATAAAAAATAAGAAATATGATCTTTAATGCATCAGAATTTATTATGAATTATATTACCATAGGTACGAATTGATAGACTTGTACATAAGTGGTCAGGTAGCATAGAAGTTGGAGTTACGATGCACAGTCCAACAGCATTAGAATTTCCAGCAACAATGACTAATATGCGATCGGGAACAACGATGATGTCTGGGTGTGGAATTTTAGTAAACGGGAAGGGAACATGTCGCGAATATGGAGAATATAATTTGGATGAATTAAGGGTAATTCAAATGAAAATGAAATAGTACTATTAGCATTTTATATGTGGTACAATAAAAAAATTTTTTTAGGAAGGTGATAGAGTAGGCATGATAAGACGGAGCAATGGAAATCTTCATTATTTAATAAATGGATTAGACCAAGGGATTGCCGCCAAAGTACCTGTAGGTGTATGGGGTGTTATAGATTTGTACGGTATGACAGTAAAAGTAACAATTGTCGATCGTGATGAAAGGGAGGAACAAAATTTAGTTACTAGACGAAATACGTTGCAATTGCAAGGTTTGAGTGGTAAGTGTATAATACCAATCATTTTTTTTTATATTATTGATTTATCATACAATATTGTGATAAATTTTCCAAAAAACTTTATTATTTAGAAACAGAAGAAGAACCGCCAGACAGACTTATGTTTCATTCCTGTTGTGGCACACATGTGGAAGTGATTAATAATGGACGTACTGCACATAGGCCTAAGTAAATAAAAATTTCTTTAGCAATACATACAAAATTTTGCTGAAATGTATATATAAAATGTATATTGTTTTTTTAGCGTAATGGACGATTTTAACAACGGTGTTGTATTAACTTCAAGACCATTAAAACCAAATGAATTATTTGAAGTGAGATTGGATAAAATTGTAACAAAATGGGCGGGATCTATCGAAATAGGAGTTACCACTCATTCCCCTACTGAATTGGAGTTTCCTTTTACTATGACAAACGTTAGGTATGTAAAATAATATTTACAATTTGTCTTAATGTATTTACATTTTCTTAAATTTATGTTAAGTTTATCGCCCGTATTATTGCTCGAAGGTGGTCATGTCCCTTGCAGATCCGGCACATGGATGATGACAGAAAATGGGGTCATGCATAATGGCACTACGATAATAGATCAATATGGGCAGAATCTTGATCGGCTACAAGTCGGAGATCGTGTAGGCGTAATGAGGAAAGATAATGCAACATTGCATTTTTATGTGAATGGTGTTGATCAAGGAGCTGCAGCAATGAATGTGCCTGAGAAGATCTATGGTGTCATAGACCTTTATGGGCAGGCAGCACAAGCAACTATAGTTGACAATACAGATTTCTACAGCCCTACTACAAACAATTCAAGCTTTAGCAATACAACTCTGTATAGGTTTGTAAACTCCGTTTATTTTCAACTTTCCGCCAATCGAAGATTAAATATGCAATTGAAGATATTTATCATTAATCACTTTTTTCAAATAGTGACTTGCGATTTCATCATATACATAGTAAAAATGCAAGGATAGTAAATAATGGGTTGACTGCATTGAGGCCTAGAGCTTTAGGAGAATTCAATGAAGCCATTGTGATTGCAAATCGTGCGCTGCGTGATGGCGAAATGTTCGAAGTGACAATTGATAAAATGGTTGATAGATGGACAGGAGCGATTGAAGCAGGTATATATTTAAAAGTATAATTCATATTTTTTTGCTTATTAGGATGTTAGTAAGAGAATATATATATATATATTTTTTTTAGGCGTAACTCTTATAAGACCTGACGAATTAGAATTTCCATCTACAATGACGGATATCGATCATGATACTTGGATGTTGTCTGGATCTAACGTTATGCGAGACGGTGTTATCTTAAGAAATAATTATGCCTGTGATTTGGACAAATTAGTAGAGGGAAATCGCATTGGTATGATGCGATGTTCAGACAACAGTTTACATTATTATTTAGATGGAGTAGATCAGGGTCCTGCTTGTACGGGAGTACCACCGCATGTCTATCCTGTGATTGAACTGTACGGACAATGTGTTCAGGTATTCCTTTATAAATGCGAAATAATAAAAAGCATGATATGTTTTTTTGTAGATATAAAATAACAAATAGCGCGATATATTATTTATGTTTATCAGGTTACAATTGTACAACCGGAACGTAGAGATCCAACGACACAACAGTATTTGCCATCGGAAAACAGCACTAGTCAGCAGCCTACGTCTGTAATTCAACTTCAAGCTCAGGCAGAAATAATGCATAAATTTCATGAATCTGTTGGCTTAAATGTCCAATTAAATGCCGATAGAACAATAGCAACTAGATGTAGGGAATACAATAATGCTATATTATTAAGCGAGGTACCATTAGAGAATAATGAACTTTTCGAAATTGCCATACGAGAAGTTGCTCGTGAATGGAGCGGTTGTTTAAGATTAGGTATTGTGAAAAATGAAAGTGGAAACTGGTTAACATCTATGAATCTTGTCCCTGGAATGGGATCCATTTCAACAGATGCTTGGTATTTAACAGGTAATATTAGATATTTATTTAGGACTCTTACTTGAAATTATTTTATTTTAAAGCAATATTAGAATAAGATAAATATAATATATATTATATCATTTTAATACATCTAATAAAAAATCTAATGTATTTAGGTAATGAAGTAAGACATAATGGATATGTTTTATGTATGAATTACTGTCCAAGTTTGGAATGGCTGCGTGTTGGTGATAAAGTTGGATTAAAACGTACGCACGAGGGTAACTTGAAATTTTATATAAATGGAGAGGACATGGGCATAGCGGCATCAAATATACCGGAAATGGTGTACGCTGTAGTTGATCTTTTTGGTAGTACAGTGACTGTAAATATAACAAGTAGTAAGCAACAAAACAATGCAGTATCTCCAAATGCTAGCTTGAGATTGCAAGATTCGTTGGAATTATTGCTAGATCCTATGCCACCAGTTTTACGAAAGTATGTTTGAATTAACTATATTTAGGATATTTGTGTTTTTGCCTTTCTTGATATTTGAAAATATACAGTACCATTATTTCATATGTAGTGATACTGGAATGGACACATCTGTAGATGTATCTGAAGGAAAATTAATAAACGATGCAGCACTCACACCGACACAGTCTGCAGCTCATTTTATAGGCGAAAGTGATTGGAGTTATGAGTTTCATGAAAATCATGGTAGAAACATACAACTGGAAACTAAAACTTCTGCACGAAGAGTTGCAAGTTATAATCAAGGTATTATTTCTTTTTAAACATATACCTTTATTAGATCTGACATTTCCTATATCCTATATCTAATATATATATATATATATATATATATATTTTTTTTTAAGGAGTGGTAATGTCTAGTCGTCCTTTAATAAAAGGCAAGCCATTTTTAGTAAAAATAGAAAAACTGAACAAACGATGGGTTTCCAATATATTTTGTGGTGTAACTTGCATTTCACCCGAAAAAGCAAATTTTCCTTTAACCGCTCTTGGTTTTAAAAAATATTCTTGGATTATTTGTAGCGATTGGATATCACATAATGGCATCAGGGTAAGTGTTAAACAAATTGATACAACACTTATACGCCATACATTAATGTATATATTAATACATGTAAACACCATATAACATGTATTAACAGATTTTATACTTATTACTAGGTAAAAACAAAGTATGGAGCTACTCTGGAAAATCTTCACTGTAATTCAATAGTAGGTTTATTTATTGATGATGACAACAGACTGCACTTGATTATCAATGGCGTAGATCAAGGCGTAGCTGCAACGGATTTGCCACCTTATGTTTATGCTGTATTTGATCTGTACGGGCAATGTGAACAAGTTTCCATTATTGCAAATAATGTAGAGGCATTCTCATCTACTACCGATAATACTGTAACGTCCGTGGAATGTATAAGGACGAAACTGGAAGATGCGGAAAATTCACGAGAGAAAGCAGACTTAGAGTGTCATGAAAAAGAAAATGTCATCGCAGCTGCTTCTTCGGACTTATCGTCTTCTACCTCGCCAAGTGTTCCAAGTCAATGCAGTTCAAACGCTAAGGATGATGACATTGTGGAATATGCAACGTGTAACAACGATAATGTGCATTTAACAAATAATATTGAGAACAAAGCAGTGCCCAGTATCTCAGACAGAAATAATTTGGATTCAAACTCAGATATGAATCACGATACAACACGAAGTATTAAGAACAAGATTTACGATAATTCGAATCAATTAAATAATAGCTCGATATTAAATAGCCAGTCAGAAAATTTGAGTACTAGGAACGAATGTACAAATGTAGAGATAAATAATGCAACTAATATTAATATTAAAAATGGCACCGCAAACAGCACCAATAACATAACTAACTTAAACACTAATGCTAATAATGCAATAAACGAAAGCATAGTATCTAATAGTCAAGGAAATAATATAAGTTCCTCGCATCAAAACAATACATCTGTTAATATATTAAGCTCGTCTCAGACATTCTCGTCTCAGACTACATTGAGTAACGTAACATCTGATATTTCGAACACTGTTTCTTCTAGTTTCAACGAAATGCGTTCAAACATGTCCTGGAACAATACAATATCCGTTGATAATTCCATCGGTGGAAATACAATTTTAGGGCAAAATACAGTGTCTATTCATAATGCGCCATTATTGCATTCATTGCTACCGTCCACACCTCTTGGAACAAACATTATATCCACAAAAAAGTGTGAATATTTAAAGGCGTGTATGAGATTGAAAAAATCATTGGTTTTACCAGATGAATTCTTTTCTTTAGAAGATGTACTTTGTTATTGTAACAATTGTTACAAAGTTGAAGGAGATAGTGCAATTTGCAAAAAGGGTGAACCACCGGCAGAATTCGCTGTACCGATTGGGTGGACGAGATTTCCATTGAAACAAAGTATTAACGCCAATCAAATTCCACAGAGTACAACTGATAAATGGCATGTTGCTTTCTATGGTATACGTCTAGATGCGATCAGGTAAGTAGAATAAATAGAATTTGATAAAAGAAACTTTTTACATAATATATAGTTCTATGTATTGTTTTCAGATTGATTCTCGATACAGGAGAACTTATGACAAAAGAGCAATTGGACGTGAGTAATTTAACAATGAATATAAAGACCGAAGATCAGAATCCTCAGGTAGTCTTCTCTCCTAGTATAAAATATGCAGCATCCGAGGAATTTAGTAAGAAGTATCCGTAAGTATTTTCATATATAGCAATGATTAATTATTATTTTAAATTATTAATTTTTCATGTTTCATATATATTCAGATATATTGATACTCAATCAAATAAAAAGTTGAATGCCTCAACAGCATTTCAACTATTAGTGAGGCCTGGCTCATATACAATTAATTCTGGTGGTAAGGATGGCGATGACCCGCAGTTCGAATCTGTTAAATGGGCTACCAAAGAAGCTGGAGCTACAGTTATTATGGCTCTCTTAGTTCACCTCGATGGATTTTAATTTATATAACATGAAAGTGATAGAAATAGTTCGGCAATGCACGAGAAATGCACTTTCGTTTACTAAGGTTGATGAATGTACATAAAGATTGTATAACGTAATATAATTACCGTAAGATAATTTTTTTAAATCTATTTTTTATCTTGAATTATTCCGTCGAATCTCCGCTGTGTATATTTACGTTGAATTGTATATTATAATTGTATATTAAGTACTCGACGATAGAGATCGGTTTTCGTTAAGATCTGTTAAGATTTTCGTTACCTTGCACTTAATTAAATATGCAGTATTAAAGAAAGATTAATAATAGATGTAATTTATCGGCTATGGATCGAACAAATTTGTAACAATCAGTTCATTAAAGTATACAGTAGCGCGTATATCGAATGCATATGTATTATGTTACACGTTTAATGTAGCTACTAGTCTAGGTTCACAGCGGTAAGGATTATGTCGAATGAACTCCAAAGGTTCGTTGCTACATTAAAGAAGCACCTTCAACCCTCAAGCTTAACGCCTAATGAATATCAAATCTTTAAGTATTAATAACACAGGTAAAAAATTCTCTCTCTCTCTCTATCTTCCTGTCTTTCTTTCTGTTTTTTAAAAGCACGATTTCACAGCATCTATAAAAAGATCTGTATAATGTAGAGATGAAATAATATCACTGTAAATCATATTACGAAGTAGAGAATTCAAGAATTAAATATCTACAAAATTGAAAATATTCTCGGAAAATATAATAATTATATTTTCAAATACGCTGCTTAGAGTTGTAATTTTTCTTTGTGAATATCATATGCATTATAAATATATAAATAATATAAATGGAAAGAAAATGACGAGTGTCTATCTTTCGCAAGCAATTCATTCAGTTTGTTATTATTATTCATTTTACTTTTTATTTTATTTTTTTTTAATATTAATTATTTTTTAATTAGAAGAACAAAATTGTTACGAATTTTATAATCTTCAGTAATTATTTATGTACACTACAATTATTTATACTATAAAATAATATACATTTTATCATATATCATTTAAATAAGCATTTAATTTAATGTGTATATGTAGAATAATTTTCTAATCTTGTAGACTTATTTTTTCGTGTATCAAAAACTTCAAGAAAATCGTAAAATATCAACGAGAAACATTTCAACAAAAGATAGGATTCCTTTCTCTTTTATTTTTTCTCCAGTTTTCTTCAATATTATTGGAGCAATACTTTCTTTTTCTACACCCAAATTCGAACATTTTGGTCCCAGGAGCAAGTAGCAACAGCCATACCATTTCCAGAAACGCTGAGTGATGTCACTCGGTTTTCGTGACCCGTTAAAACACCTTTAAATAAAAGATAAAAATCTTAGAAATTCTTATTCACAAAAATTATCAATATTTTATTTATTTATTTATTTATTTATTTAGTTTTAATGCCGATAACAGGATATTTACCATTATGTACATTTTTCAATGTATCCCATATATGAATGGAATTATCATCGCTTCCACAGAATATGAATCTTCCGCTGAAGGATAAACCGCAAGATGTGTATCCAGGATTTGAATTTGGAGGCTTAAACGTAGCTAACTGCTGATCTGACCTTAAGTCCCACAATCTCGCCGTTTTGTCTTCCGATGCCGTTACAAAAGCATATCCCGAAGGATGATACTAGATAAAAGTAATTCTTAACATTGTAAGATAGATAATCTTAGAAATTAAAAAAGTTATATATATATATAAATATACATTTAAAGAAAGTTTTAAATAAATTTACTAAATATTAAATATAGACATAAATAAATCAAAAGTAAGCTGCAATAAAATATAATTTCTATACTAACACAAACAGAGTTGACATCAGCTTCATGCCCAAAGAAAGTTTGCTTCGCCTTCTCTTCCCTTACGTCCCATAGCTTGCATGTTCTGTCCACTGATCCGGTAATATATGTGTTCCCGTCTGGAGCTAAACTAATACTAACCACATCTCCAGCATGCGCGCAAAAGTCGGTAGTCTTCTTGTTCGCCTCCAAATCCCATATACAACTAAAAGAGTGTTGAAATTACTAAAAAGAAAGTGACTATTATGTATTGTTGCTTTATAGATGCGGATACATTTTCATGTCACCGGATCCAGTGATGATCCTCTTGTCCTCCAAGAATCTGCAGGATGAGAGGAAACCTTCGTATCCTAGTAATTCTCGAACGATTTTTGCCGATCCCGTTGCGTCACGATTGTTCACATCGTAGACAGTGCACATATTGTCCATACCACCGCAGGCAACGAAATTCCCCGAGGGTGCAAAAGCTACCGACATCACCCACGCCGAACGTAATGGAATTACCTGAACTTTATTTCCAGTCCACGAGTCCCAGATGATTAATTTCCCGTCTAGCGAGCCAGTCACGCAATGCCTGAAAAAAAGTGATATCCATTTTGATGGCTCGAGATTGGACACGATCGTTACGGTTGATTTCGCGGGATCAATGATCAATACTGACCTACTATCACCGCTATAATGCACCGAATTCACTTTGTTAATGTGTCCCTTTAGCAACTTTTTCGTAGATAATTTAACTTTCGGCGCATCTGGCACGCTGCTACACGATTCCTCCAATGTTGCATCTTGTTGCTTCTTTTGATCTTCCTGTTATTAGCAAATGAGTTTTTAGTTGTTATCAAAGAGTGAATTTGTTGTAGCGTTTCTATTCAATTACTGTCGAATGTTTTTTTTAATACAACCTTGCATTTGTTGATCAGATCTTCTAATTCTTTTTTCAAAGCTACCGTCTCCGCGTCATCCTTCCCCATTTTCTGGCGTCTTGCTTCACTGTCAAAGGTGTTACTTTATTGCAAAACTACTCGCGGATCTGACGACGATGATAGACGTACGGATACTGCGAACAAATTTTTATCAAAATGTAAAAGAAGCCTCAGCATCGTCTACATTGCTGTCCCAGTAATCGTATTAAATTAACGCTTGATCCTATTTGTTAGGCATTAGTTTGGCTCTCTGACCTAACTTAATTACCTACATACACGATAACCCTCATTCCTTTATTCCAAGTACGTAACTCTTTCTTTTCTATTTCATTTTTCATTGTTTATTTATGGATGTATGTACATGACAATGTAAAACTCCTTCTTTTTTTTTTTTAAGAAAAGAAAAAAAAAGAAGAATGTCAAAGTTACAGGAAGTGGAAGGAAGAAAAGAAGAAAGAAGTGGTTACGGTATCGGAGTCCTTACAAAAAGTGTAATCCGTTGCGCTTTCGAATTCCATTTCACCTATAAATGATTCGATTTGTATAGTTCTATGCAGTTTTATCGGTTTATCGATCGATGATAGATCTAACGCAATGAATTTTTTATATTAAATGAATGTGAATCTCGAAAACGCATATAATTTCTTTTATTCGTTTCGTAGTTTCCTTAATTTTTGTTTAATAAATATAGAAAATGGTGTACAAGAAGGGAAATATTATACTGATTAGTGTTTTAATGTTAAATAATATTGCTGTTAACGTCGTAGCCAAAGAAGTTTATTTCAATTTGCCTCGAAACGACAATGAAAGCGCGGCATGTGTTGAAGAATCGACAAACATATTCAAACAGATCGTCGCCAAATACTATAAAACAAGTACAAACTCTTGTGATAGAAACGCAAAAAGTAAAGGTAAGAGCAATAAATTGTATTACATTATTTATTATATATATCCATTATAATTTTATATTATTTATTATATATATTCATTATAATTTTATATTATTTATTAATATATCCATTATAATTTTATATATTATTAAAATAATTACACAATATTTTATGCAATAGTTTTAAATTATAAATAAACAATAAAATGATTACAAATACAATAAATAATTACAGAAAATATTTTTGCCAATATTTTTAACAATATTATATATTATACAATTTAACAATATATAATATTGTTAAAAAATTAGCAACTTAAACGTTGTAAAATATTACATATAAACAATAGTGTAATAATAAACAATTAACAATAAATATTGTAACATACTCGAACAATACTTGAACATTCAAATAATTCAGGAAGGGTTGCCAATCTCGTTCGGAATTTTATCAAGTTGGTAAACGACAAAGTGACATCTTCGAAATATTATCGGCAATGTCGATAACTACGCGACGAAGATATGCGAGTTGTTTCGTGTCTCAGCTAAACATTACTTAATTTTTTGCTAATAGTCGAAACACGAACAATGCACAACAAAATCTTACTTTTAATTTAAATTCTACATTTGAAATGAGAGTGATGCACACTGCGCATTGACATTTTCGACACTGTGACTCCGTGTTACTCCTAATGTTACTTAAAACAATTAAGACTCGAGGTACAGACTGGTGACACACAACAAACGAATTAAATCGCTGTTCGTGCATTGTATGGTCAAAGATGTTCACCGAAATTTTATCCGGAATGGTAAACGAGAGTCAAGTGCCGAACGTAGTCGTCGAAGATAGTAACTTTCGTTCAAAAAGCGTGGGAGTAGCGACGAATTTGCTTTCTGTTCTTCATGGCTAGTCTTAACTAGTGCTGTGTGCATTTAACACGCTCGTCCGCGCGTTTGTGGTCCATTCCAATTGAAAATGCGTGCCAGGAACATTGGATGCTGTGTTTTTTGGTGTCTGTTCCTAACCTACCACGTGGTTAGCGAGACCCTGCCATCAATAAACAAAGACGGTAACAGTTTCATTCAACATTTTCCAACAATTTTATTAGCATCTCTGAAACAGAAAAGATTCAAGTTATTCAAGTTAATCTGAATAAAGAGTTCCAGAGAGGATGTATAAATTAGATTAATCACAGATGTTTGTCTTGCCATACTTAGTTATTATTATTTTCCCTTAGATTGTACATGATCAATTAAAGGGAAACACAGAGAAAAAATATTTTTTGTTGTATTTGTTATTGTTTTAAGAAAATTTCTTTCGGCATCATTTTATTATCATTGTGTAATAGTTCTATTCAGCATTTTTTAAAAATTTTATTAATACTTCTGAAGTATAAACAAAATTTATTCGAATTCGATCTGAATGAAGAGAAGTATAAGTTAGATCAATTATAATAAGATCGTTTTTAGTTATTTTAGTTGTTTTGTTATCGTTGGATTGTGATCAATTAAAGGGAAACACATCGGAGAGAGTGGAAAATATTTTTTTATTTGTATTTGTTATTTTGTTTTAAAAGAATTCTTTTTAGTATCATTTTATTATTTTCTACAATATCTTACAAATTACGCTATCTATTCGTCTGAATTTCATACGCCTGCGCGAAAGTTATTTTTTGGGGGAAATTTATCTAAATTAAGTGAAATTAAAATCGTAACATTATAAAATGGAAATGTACACATTTTTTATATTAATTTATATATTTTTATATAATTTTATATTTACATTTTTTTATAATACATATACATTCTTTTTAATGATTTTATAATTTCTGCTAAAATAATTACACTTGAATTTATAAAATTCGTTTTTTTAACATAAGCCCTGGCACAGCTGACGTAAGTCGTAAATGAAATCTCTCGACGATTTTATTCACTGGTTTTCTCCGTCGTTATATTTGGCAAGTGAAATTCTCTTACGGTCACGTTGACCGTAAAAACGATGAAACCTTACGACTCCTGCGGTTTTTGATCGAACATTGAAAATTAATTTATTTTTTACGTCAGCAGTACGTAGAAATAAATGATTTTATCTTGCTTATATCAAGCACCGATTTGAAGTCAACTCTGACCCCTTTCAACTTATTCATTTACAAGATCATTATATTTTTATCCGTGACACAATTCGATCATGGAAAAGGGAATTACATCACCCTTAGTTAGAGAATGCCTTATGTTGTGATTAATATAGCCCGCGCAAAAATTAGCATTGCTAAAGATTATTTACAATTTACAATTTATGGAATTCAAATATGCGGTCAATTGATCATTGAACTTAATTAACCTTACAAACAATAAAAATAGGAACGATTTATAAATATAAATCGTTGTACATATTGAGTACATGTTCACTTATATATTTGATTGACGCACAGTGTAGTTAAAAAAATAATTAGAGCAATAAAGATAGATCGTATCTGGAAGCAGATATTGTGCGTTATGTATTCACCATTATATATTCATGAATCTCTACAAAGATGTCTCCTTCGATGTAACGAAGAAGATGTAATAAACGGTTTCGAAATATCTCTTTCATTATAGCTTTAGTTAAGTGTCACGTTCAATGTGTGAAATAATTAATTACAAAGAAACAGTACGTACTTTACAGTTATTACGATGCATTCAATGCACAAAAAGAATGCCTAACTGTTTATTTTTCTAATTTAGTTGTCTCTAGCTTGACAATAATTAGGTGATGCGTGCGCGTGCACACGATATTGTTATCTTTTCATTTCCGGTTAGACGAATATGCGGATGCACGGACAGAGATGCCTCTGTTTCCAACTTTTTAAAATCTCTTATCATCGTTACAGCAATTTTTCAATTTGTTTTTACGAAGAAAATTATCCCGATATTTTCGTGTAAATTTAAAAATTCTTATTATTAAATACATTATTTATTACGTTATTTATATGTATCTATATATTTATTAAATATAAATATTTAATATTAATATTTATATTTAATTATATATAGGTTTATTAAATATAAATATTACACTTTTTGTGCTTTATTCGTATTCTGTAGAAATAAAATTAATTTTAATATCTTGTTTCGTAATCGGTACGGACTCTACTTAAATTTTGTAATAATAATGGCTTTCAGTAATTGAAACTGCGTCCAATGCGAATCCAACGCGTTTCTCTTTTGCCGAGAGATGACGTGACACGTACTATATTACGTTGGAATCATGATGTCATGTAGAAAATGTAGCGCTTATGTGAACAAGGCGTTCGCCTGATTTTTGCTTATTCAACTCGTATGTTGATACTATGTCGCTCAAAATAGACACGTAAACTTCTCCAACGCTGGGGGAGCTATTTTAAAAAGAAGTAGCAACGAAATAAAATTTCACTCATTATCAGAGTATTATCGAACGTATTACCACGAACTGATTGATTTATTAATCATTTAATTCTTCAAGTGCATTTGAATATTTTGTATATATCGTTTGAAGTTACATGCTTTATAAGCCTTTAAATTTTACGTTTTGAATTCAAATGGAACGACAAAGGAGAAATAAATGATTTTTCTTTTACGTGTATTGAAATATTGCACAATATTGTGCGTTTTCAATTTCTCTGCATTTGTCTTGAAATACGAGAATCTGAATATTATTGAAATTGTTTGTAGATGCACTGGTGTATACCGTCGCTACGAATGAAACGGATGGTTACAAAAGATTCCTCAGATCGATCAACGTTTACGAAATTCGTCACAATTTGAGGGTTCTTGGTTTGGGGGAAGCTTGGCTCGGTGGCAATGTAAAAACTAGCGCAGGGGGCGGATATAAAGTAAATCTTCTGAAGAAGGCACTCGAAGACTACAAAGATGATGATCAGAAGATTATTATATTTACAGACAGGTTTCTTCCACATGTGATTTTTTTTCTTAACTTGTTTAACCTCTTGCGCTGGAATGACGTGCCACGCACGTCGAGAATTTTTGCCCCAAAATTGCGAAGTATTTTCTCAGTTTTAAGTATATTTAAGTATAATCTAGGCAAAACAAATAATAAATTTATTATTTCTCAATAATTTCTATCCAATGATATCGTACCGACGAGTTCAAAAAGAAAACGATGATTTATTGTGTACGGTTTGGTCGCTCGTTATGGTCCGCAATCAGTTGCCAGCGCAAGTGGTTATAACCTTTTGCGCTGGAATGACGTGCCACGCACGTCGAGAATTCTTTGTCCCAAAATTGCAAAGTATTTTCTCAGTTTTAAGTATATTTAAGTATAATCTAGGCAAAACAAATAATAAATTTATTATTTCTCAATAATCTCTATCCAATGATATGACCGACGTGTTCAAAAAGAAAGCGACGAATTATTTTATACGGTTTGGTCGCTCGTTATGGTCCGCAATCAGTTGCCAGCGCAAGTGGTTAATTTTGCGACCGATATTTTCATAATTGCTCTCTGCATTTTAGTTACGACGTAATATATTTAAGCGGCTTGGCCGAGATCATCAACAGATTCAAGAGCATGAACGCTAGAGTTCTGTTCTCCGCAGAAGGAAACTGCTGGCCCGATAAATCGCTGGCTTCGAAATATCCACCCGCGAGCCGAGGGAAACGCTTTCTAAATTCCGGTGGTTTCATAGGCTACGCCTCGGACATTTACGCGATTTTAACGTACGCCCCGATCAAGAACAAAGACGACGATCAATTGTTCTACACGTTGGCATACCTCGACGAGAAATTAAGGGAACGTCACGAGATCAAGCTGGATCACAAGTCTGAGATATTTCAGAATCTCTATGGTGCTGTAGGTGAGTGGACGAGTGAAATAAGATTAAGCAAATAAAATTAATAATTTTTATCATTTCCCTTTTGCAGCTGATGTAGAATTAAAATTCGAGGGTGGCAAAGCCTCGCTTTTAAATACTGTTTATAATACAGAACCATTGATACTCCATGGAAATGGTTACAGCAAGTTATCGCTGAATTCCTTAGGAAATTATTTGGCTCACGCGTGGAGCCCGGAAGAGGGATGTATAATGTGCTGGGAAGGAATGATAGAATTGGATAAAGCAACGCCGAAGTCGTATCCGATTATATTAATTGCTATATTTATCGAACGGCCGACTCCTTTCTTGAACGAATTTCTAGCAGCAATATATCGGCAAGCTTATCCAAAGTCGAAGTTACATTTATTTGTGCATAATACCGTGACGTATCACGAAGATGTAGTTGATAAATTTATAAGCAAGGTCGGGAAGGAGTATATTAGCAGTAAACAAATCTCTGCGAACGATGCCATGAACGAAGTTGATGCAAGAAACTTAGCCATGTATGTATCAGAGATGCATTTTTAACTAAATCACTTTAAATTCATTTATATTTCAAGATAAAAAAACCGTTCCTCAGGGACTATTGCTTATTAAAGGAGTGCTCTGGATATTTCTCCATTGATTCCGTTTCTCATCTAGACAACGAACACGCTCTGAAGCTTCTAATAGAACAGCAGCGAGACATTATCGCGCCATTACTGGTCAGACCATATAAAATGTGGAGCAATTTCTGGGGGGCTATAATGGACGATGGATTCTATGCTCGAAGTTTTGATTATATAGAGATGGTCAAAAACGAACGCAGGTAAATGGCAAGAATATTTGACAAATTTCCCCTTTTAATGCATACTACGTTATATTTATTCCATCCAAATTACGTGTGTGCAGAAATTATACATTTCGTGAGAAACTGTTTCATCTCCCTTTGTCTCTAATTTTAAACTATGTATATATATATATATATATATATATATGTGTGTGTGTGTATATCTTAAAGATAGTAATTTTCAATTTCATTTATATTCGTGCTAAACTACTTAAAAAGAAACATAAATTTAGTCGAAAGCAATGGAGAAGTCAGTCTTGAAGGATCTTCGATCAATACTGTACATGTTATCGGCTGTACATTCGTAAACTCCAGCATCCATTTGGGTCGCAGGATCTATTTCCAGTTTCGATTTCACTTTGTCCGTGCCAATTTGCCATTCGTGCACCTTCGTACGTAAAATATTCATCGTTAATCATCGTTAAATAGAATTTAATCATCAGCAATTAGGATTATATATACTGACATGCAGATAAAGATGTGTATAGATCTCAGCACCATCCTTGAACCATGTGATGTGCGGTCGTGGATTTCCACGTGCTACACAGAGGAAGGCGATTTTGTGTCCTAGAACGTACTCTAAGTCGAAGTGCGATGCCAATAGTATCTTCGCTCCCTAGACAAACGTTTTTCGGAAGACACTTGAGATTAAATTAGGAGAGAAACTGCATTACCTTGGTCTATGAGTCTACGTACATTGTGATTATTATAATATTGATCACTCTCTGGATCACGATACTTTCCAGTAATAGGCAATCCTATTTGAACTCGCGATCTGGTTTTTCCTCTGCCTCGTCCTCTTCGTCCAAAAGTTTCGTGGCTATTTAATAACAGTACGATCAACAAAAACAGCATCACCGTAGAACGTGGCATAACGACCTGAAGAGAAACTGGAAATCAAGCCAGCGGTTGAAACTGCAGAGAACAAATGATTCTGTGGCGATATGTCGCAGATACACACCGAGTACAAGCAACGTATGACGATCACACGGAACTCCGATGTAACTAACAGTCACCTACTCATTACTCCCCTAGTCTTCTCTCCTATCTATTACAGATGTATAGGCAAATACTGCTGAACTGCATATATTATACGTGTATGTGCTGGTATTACTTCGACACCTATTACAACTCCGGCCATCATCGAATTCCAAATGGCCTAACTTAATTTATTAATTTTACATAGCGACGACGAACGAAATTAATTCGAATGAGATCAAGATTAAACATGACAAGGATGGATCGTATTGTTGCTTTCTCGCTCGATCTGCGATTTAAGGAAATGGTAATTGGCTAGATAAATTTGTGATGATACGTATTTTCAACGTTTTATAGTTTGCGCTATAGATGCTATAGTACCACCCTTGTGAGAGAGCCAATTGTGATTTAATGAACAAGAGATGGGGGAACTGTAAATTTCCAAATGTGTCTCAATGCTTTGGAATTCTTAACAATTCGTAGGATTCATACGTTAAAGAAAATAATAAAATACGTTCTATTTTTTTCTTTTATTATTATTATTATTTTTTTTAAATAAAATGCTTTTAGTGTTATAAAAGTGTGAAATTTAACGCTAATAGAAATAGTTCTAAGTAAAGTCTACGTGTATAATTTTTAAGAAATTGAGCGTGCTGCTTAAGATTAACTTTTCCGCTACAGTGACAAAGCAGAGAGATTGGAGTGATGGTTAAATTTAAATGTTGTAACTACGATAAAAGAAAAAGTACTGATTTTAATAGGAGATCATGACATAATCCGTTCTAAAGCCGCGACGATCAACCGCGTATTGATTGTCCGCTTGGCATTCATAATATCCCGCATCTTTTTGAGTAGCAGGGTCGATTTCCATCTTTGACTTTAACGTATCATTACCAACAGGCCACTCGTGCACCTGCAACACACACACACACACATACACATACGTGTTTTGCAATTTTTTTACAATTTACAAACATTTACAAAACATTTTACAATTTTTTCAATTTTGCTCGCAGAAACTTCATCGCGAGTACCTGGAAGAATTTATGATGATACAATTCGATTCCATCTTTCAACCAGGTGATCTCGGGTCGTGGAAATCCAGTGGCCATGCAGAAAAACGTGATCTTCCTTCCCAGCATGTAGTCCAATTCGAAGTGCGAAGCTTTTACTATCCTTGCCCCCTGGAAATTCTTCGATTTGAGCAATTGAGTGGTTCCAGTCGTCTGCTAATGCTTTTCAACTCACGTCTTTGTTTTCATAGTAGTTGGCACTGGCAGGATTTCTATGTGGAATCAGAATAGGCATCCGAGATTTGTATACTCTTCCGCCACCGCGCCTGCTGCCACCTCTGCCTCCTCCACCTTTCGCCGCGTCTGTGCTCACCAATAATGCAGTGAAAAAGAATAGGCACAAAAGTCGATATCTCTCCATTTGTTCTACGGTGATCATAGAGTTCTCAATGCCTCTTTGAAACGTCAATCTTTCCATACACTTTACATAAAGAGCCTTGTGACGATGTACCTTAAGCTTTTCAACTAATTTCAATTGTTTCTAACTTGGAATATTTTTTAGGTAACTTTTGCAAAACGATTTGTATGATAGGGATGGTCGGATTGTATATATTGTATAACTTCACCGAAAAACAATTGTTGGTGAGAATAGTGATCACAATCTCCAGATGCTTACCGGCTACACGGAACTGCTACTTTCGACAAGTGGTTAGGCTAAATCTTTGGGCTTCGCCTGTCCCTACAGCCTAAAATATGAATGGACGGTGGGCATGTCGTCATTGGTGACAGAGTTATGAATCTCAATTGGATAATTATGCATAACCCATTGCCAGTGTGTTCATCGGCCAATCACGGACATCACAGTGATTGCCCCGCGAAATATTGTCTCGCGAGACTAACAAACAAGTTTGCTGGTCCCTTCGGTCGTTTCGCGTCTGCTTCTTCGCCGACCTTGAAATCCTTGAGAATCGCAGATCGATTGGATACCCACACACGTGCTGTCATTTGTTAAAACGATCATTTGTACGAATTTAGTTCCTCGTATGGATTATTCCTCTTTGTTACAATGATTACCACGTTGCTTTAAAAAAAACTTTAATACTTGAAATGTTTTAATATTAAAATACTTTAAAATATTATTAATATTTAATAATAATAATAATAATAAAATAATATAATATTTAAAATACTTTAAAATGATACACATGTGTATAATATATTGTACAATATCATTTCAGGGGACTATGGAACGTTCCATTTATTAGTAATTGCTATTTAATTAATGCAACACTAATAAGGAACAAAAACACCCGTCCGTCTTATTCAGAAGGCGATTTGGACGCAGATATGGCTTTCGCTTACGCTAACAGAGAACGGTACATCTTTATGTACGTCACTAATAGACTCGATTTCGGGCATCTCGTTAATCCAGACAATTATGACATCACGCTCACTCATCCGGATTTATATCAAATTTTCGACAACAAACTGGACTGGGAGAAAAAGTACATTCACGAAAATTACTCGGAGAACTTTAATCCGAATCGGACACCAACGCAGGTAAAAAAGCACATTTTTTACACATGTTCTTATGGAATTTTCAATATTTATAGAATTCTCGATATTAACTCAATTTTCCTTGCAGCCTTGCCCAGATGTTTACTGGTTCCCCATAGTCAGCGAGAGATTCACGAAGGAGTTGATTGATGTTATGGAAGCGTACGGGAAATGGTCGGATGGATCAAATCATGTACGACAATTTATCTTTGCAGTATCATACCGTTACAATAATCGCAAATCAGTATATGATTTTCAGATAGAACAAAATTACAGGATAAACGTTTGCCTTATTCCTAGACAATAATAAAATAATTCTCCCAACAGGACCCGAGATTAACGGGTGGTTATGAAAACGTACCAACCCGTGATATACATATGAATCAAGTAAAATACGAGCCACAGTGGCTGTACTTTTTAAAGGAGTATGTTAGACCACTTCAGGAACTTGTGTTCACCGGATATTATCATGATGTAAGATGTTTGTTTGTTTCTTTTTTTAATACGTGCATTAATCATTTTTAGGATTCACGTATCGAAGGTGGATACGAAGCCGTACCAACACGAGACATTCACATGAAACAAGTCGGCCTCCATGAATCTTGGTTAAATTTCCTTTATGAATATGTTAGCTCCTTACAAGAGCGTGTTTTTATAGGATACAACACGAACGTAAGAGTTATGAAAAACAGGATTTATGGGAGTAGGTTGTTCATTGGTTGCACAACGTTGTTCACCTTGATTTATGAATTAATGCACCGTTGCACAAATGTCAAATTGGAAGTAATTGTAAATTGTATCGCATCGTTTCCTGTCAGTGGAAGGCTTCGTATTCGAATTCGTTGCAGTTTCTATAGATGTATATAGCTAAATGCACATGCAGTAGTTGGAACAGATCGGTACATTACAAATAAATTGGATATCAGGGTTTGAATGAAAGATATTCTGCTTCGTTTTGAATAGTATATTGATGGAAAATTGATACAAATGAAATACTAACTGATTCGTAATTTAAATTGACAGCCACCACGGTCACTCATGAATTTCGTCGTAAGATATCGTCCAGATGAACAACCATCGTTGAAGCCACATCATGACAGTTCAACCTACACCATCAACATTGCTCTAAACAGGGCAGGAGTGGATTACGAAGGTGGAGGTTGTCGATTTATCCGTTACAACTGTTCTGTTACGGATACGAAACCAGGATGGATGTTGATGCATCCAGGAAGATTAACTCATTATCACGAAGGACTGCGAGTAACCAGTGGGACAAGATATATCATGATTTCATTCGTCGATCCCTAATCGATATTATGGACATTAGGAACACGATAACTGAACGCATAGAGAATGTTCAACTGACTTCTTATACTTGTGAATCTGTCACATAGTATTATTAGTTTGAAACTTAAACTGCCGATGCAAACAAAATGTGCATTTAAAAAAAGATGAAGTTCTTGTATCGATGTTATTTTTTTAATGTAAGGAGAATATTCGAGGTAGTTAACTCTAAGTGTTTGTATGGAAATAAAATGTTGATTCACACTTGTATTTAATATTATTGCGACATGGCCATTAGAGTAAGTCAGATTTAATTTTTATGTCCTTTTTTTATTATTATTGTTGTTGTTATTATTATTAAAAACTTGCCTTTTAAATTATTTACATCTTACGATTTCTACATAATTATTTTTACATTTTAATTTCGACGCGAGAACTTGTTTTTCTTTTTTTGTTACCTCAAGCTGTGTTTTTAAATAATATCATGTATATTCTAATGGAATCACACACGCCACACTGTTTAAAAAAAAGAAAGCATTTTCTCATTTCAGACTCCACGTATCTACACAATTATCAGTATGTTACAATATTAGGAACATTCGTAGGATAAGTAATTAGATTAACATCACTGAATAGCAAACTTTGAAAAATCGATTTTAATCATATTCCCGCACATTTATTTACATTGTAAAAAAAAGTTTTTTTTTGTTAGAGTAATATTTGATGCAATTGTAGTATGTCACAGCACAATAATAGCATACTTAAATTCATTTAAAAGACACTTTCTGTATGGAAAAATAAGTACATTTTAAATTAATTCAAATGTTATATAGTGCTCATCAATTGAAACCAATGTCCCTTGGTTTTCAACAACTTTTCATACATACTTTATAGTCGCGAGGAGTTTTAATTATTTCACGCATGTATTACAGAATCAATTGTGTCTCGTCCAGAGTACCGCGCAATCTAATTAATTTCAACGCAGTCCACATATAACAAGCAATGACATAACGCTGCAACGTAGTAACGTATTAATACCTTATAAAAATGTTCTCTGCCAGCGAGTATTTTTACCGCATAGATACTTGATAAACACGAATACTATTCAAATTCACAGTATCATTTAATTGAACTAGGCATTATTTACAATTTGTTCGATTCATAGAAAAAGATAAGATTATATATATATATATATATATATATATATATATATATATATATATAATTTTAATAACCCGCTCGTTTCAATTCGTTCAACTGATGTGCTAATTTTTCCTCTTTAGTTCTTCTCGCTTGGCCCAATTTCCTACATTCGATATAACTGCTAAGGAAACGTTCAACGTCAATTTTCCTGTTAAGGAAATCCTCGGCGATTCGTTCACTTTCTTCGTGGCTCTCGTCGGCCGCTCTTTTTAAACACTCTTTTATGTGATCAGGAGTAAATGCTTCAGACAACTTGTTGTATCGTTGTATAAGTTGATCATATCTAGCCTTTAGCGCAGTGACGGTCTGTACTTTATTTGCTACATCAGACTGCAACTCTCTAAGCTCGGGTTCCTTGGCTACATTAGCCTCTGAAGAACAAAAAGAATAGACGTATTAATAGAAAAAACAAAAGAGACATTTCCAAGGGAACAAAATGGTTTTATTGGAAGTTGTCTTACCGGCAGTTTTTTGGACCCAATCTATTGCATCGTCGATAGCCGCGTTAATGTCTTTTAAATTGGAATGTTTATCCAGGAATTCGTCCAATCGGTCGTCATCCTCGCTCAACCATTTCAATTCCTCGTTAGTCAAGTTATTCAATTCTGGAAACGCTATGCTCTGCCGCAGCTTGGCCTGTGCTTGATTCGGTAACGACTGCTGGTGGTAATTCGCGTTCACGTAATGCGAATTCAGATACGTTCCATGCTGATTCGAATTGTATCTCGTCACATCTACGTTGTGAAGCGAACCACTCCTCGAGCTCGCAACATAGGCTGGATGCTGTGACGGAGAGCCGAATTTTGTATGGTTTTCTGTCACGTACACAGTACTCGAGTTCGTGTGATTGTAATTATAAATACAAGTATTTGCACTGGCAGATGAATACTGTGGATATTGAGTAGTATAATAAGAATTGTATGACGTTGGTGAAATTTCTGGATACTGTTGCAGAGAGTAAGATGGAGAATTCCTCCCTTGTGAGTCTGTAATTTGCACACAATAAGAATAGTAACAGAAATATAGATTCATTTTTAATTTAGATTCTCTCAGTGCATATTATGAGAATGTACGCACCTCTATGGGACTTTACAGATCCAGGAGAAACTTCTTCTAACAACTGTGGAGGATTTTTACTAAATTCCCTAATGATAGCTTGAACAACACGGCCAAGATCACTGTGTACTGTAAACTGATACGTAGAACCAAATGATCTTTGTGATTCCAATTAAATCTATCTTGCGAATTTTCTAAAAAGAAAAAAATAGAGATCTTACATTAAGTAGCCCTGGTGCACATGTGATTTCGCTGTGTTCGTTACACCAGGGATGGTTCACAGGTGGAGAAACCCTGAGTGCTGGTTTTTCCAACGGAAACTCCGGTGACAAAGAAACCATAATGGCCATTCTCCTTTCTCCAGCATCGAATTGTACTTGATATTCCACATCTTCTCTTAACTCTACTACACTGTAACGTGAATCACATGATAGTAACAGAGAAACAGTTGTGCAACAGACAAAATAGCATAAAGATACATATGAAACGTTCTCTTTCTTTTCAAATTAAATAATCAAACTATAGGATTAATGTGGAGAACATAGGCGTGTACAACAAATATATAGAATTTGCGAAATAAAGGCTAATTCGTATCGTTAATGCGATAAATCACGCCTTATTCGTCGTCTACGAACCACAAGATGCTTTATTCTACGTGAATGAAGGAAACAGTAACAATGTTACGCAGATAATTGCTGAATCAAATAAGCAGGTAAGGTTAAGAAAGTGAGGTTACAAACGAGAATTCCCTTACTTGTCGTTGAAGATCTTCAAGGTGTCGATTTGTCGTTTTCTCTTGACTGCGACATTCTCATTTTCGCCACGGAATATTCGCGATATCATTTAAGAGGATGAAATCCAGATAAAACATTCGTTTTATCCTTCGACCTCCCTGTCAAATTAACCATCCAACAGCAGAACAGCTGTTTCAGCTGTCGTCGCACTTCACGGTGGATGCCGAGATCTATCCAGCATTCACAATGTGTCTTTCTCCTTTTACGCTGTCGTTTAAAAAAAAATATCAGTCGTATTGCATTTTGAATAATATTGATTTTCGTAGACAACAATCCAAATCAACAATCGATGAAATTTATTTGATTACCTGGGCTAAGATTGATCAGTCTGCCCCTTTGTGTGTAATGTACAAAATTCGAAATCGAGAATCGCTTTGTTTGCAACAATTGGAAAAAAAAGAAAGAAAGGACGACTTTCCAGAAGGGGACGAACTGAATAAGATATACGCATTTCGCAACAATGCACGCTATGCTAGACATACACCTAAACGTTGCGTAATTATACAGTGTCAACGTTGAAATTTGCTGTCTTATCGTTAGTCATTTCGAATAACGTGTAACAAATAAGCGTGACCTTCGGCGAGGTAACCAAAGCGCATAGCGTTATACACGCAGTAGAAATTTTAATTCCAATGAAACGTGTATCATGTTTCGTGTGCTTGTGAACAAGTAGGTATAATCTGTTCTCAATGTTCTCCTGAAACAACATTTAAATATTAAAAATTACAGTCGATTGTGTTTTATTTTCTAATAAAATAAAATTAGTTTGGCATTTTATCGACAGTTGCCGGTTTGACGAAGAAAGTGTAGTAGATCGAGAGCCTGAGTTTTGGTTGAAAATTATAGAGAATCAACGGGAAGAACGTGCGAAGAGTCTGCAATTATCACCAAATACGTACCGTAACTCTGTGGCATTGCACGTATGCGAGTAAGTAATACTTGTGTTCATCTCCAGCACTAGTTCGAGATCTCGAAGATTCACGCGAGCAATCTTATTGTCAGTTTATTCTCGAGTTTCGGCGTTGGCGATAAATGCACGGTTAATAGGACTTACAGAATAATTTGATTTGATCGAGATAGTAATTAAGCTTGTTCGGGAAGTAATAATGATAAATTAATAATTATTCGACGCTTTGCAACGAATGTTAATTAATAATTAATGATGATTAACCAATAAATATTTATTATTAATTAATTAATTAATCGTGAATATTAATGATTAATCCAACACTTTGTAAAATAAATCAAATGAATTAATTATGCATGTCCCAAACTGCGAACTACACGTAAAAAGAAGAAAAAAATGTTGCCTAAAGTTCATCAGGAAACGCCTTACTACAGAGTTATAAACAAGTATTGCACGTATGAAATAAATATCTACACGTTTTTATTTGCCATTTGTTTTTTTTTTTTTTTTTTTTTTATTTGTGGAGTACTTCAAAACAAAAGATTTAGCACAGAAGCACAGACAAAGTATATGAATATATGTACCTCGTCTGTGACAAAGGTAATGTCACGTGAAGAGAGTTGAAAAAAAATTGAAAACATTTTTAATTTCAATTTCATTGAAACTCCCAAGCAAAATTCTCAGAAACTTTACAGTGTTATTAATTCCATTTTTCATCGATATTAAGATTGGTGGAATTAAAAGTTATTTTTCATTGTGTTATTATAATTAATTAAATTACGAAAGATTAACACATGAAAGGAGATATATTTAACGACATCATTTGTGTGCTAATGAAAAGTTGTGTAATAGAAAATGCATTGCTACTAACGTATTTCATGCATACAATATTTGTTGATAACCCTATAACAAAGCCTTTAATGTCGAATTTTATATATATTCTCACTATTTTTGTCCTTATCATATAATAATGTGTTCCTTGTCTATCACGTTATGAAGTTGGTAAAACAGAAATTGAATAAATCGTTAAAAAAGATGCCTTTATATACCTAACCTGTTGTTGAAATAAATGGTGTCTTCTTTACCGATCTCTATTTTTTTTCTAATTTACCAACTTCATCACGTGATAGACAAGAAATACACTATTGCGCAATAATGACAGCAAGTGGTTAGTTCTACTATTTCACTGCTAGGTGGTAATAATATTTTGTAATAGTTCATATACTTCGGTGCTCTTATTGTTAGTCAATGCTTGAGCATAAACGAACTATATGACGTACGAGGTACATATATTGATATAAATCGTTTATCCCTTAATTGTATGTGATTGTATGTAACAGTGTGGACAATAAAATTTAATTTTCAATATGAATCTCTATTTAATCGATTAGTTATTATTATTAACACTCAAAAAATACACCAAATTAATTTATTTATTATGCATTATAATATAGAATATAATACAGAATTTAAGAAATATTCTGTCTATAATAACATGAAGAATTTATAATATAATTATTGACTAAGAGTATTAGTCAATAATGTAATATAAGAATTTTAAAATTAGAATTCATTTAAAATATTTCTTGTATTTATCATAAATTTTACAATATTTTTATTAAATAACACTTATAAACAAATTTATCTTAAGTACAATTTATTTAAATTTATGTACAATAGTACGTACAATGTATCACGTGTGTATAATATTCATTTTAAAACATTCTCTCCTTTTATCGATTGTTATACATGTACAATCATTGTTCAAAATTATTACCAAAATTCTATTATCAAATTGATTAAGCATTATTTCCAATAACAGCAACAATTCTAAGGACGATTCTATGTGACTCATTTTCAACGGATTCTTTAGGATACAATTAATTACGACTTCGTTTCGTAACACATCTATTCAATAATTGTTCATCTAACTAATTCTATTTCTTAAGACTGAAATTATCGTTCTAAAATTAATCATAAAAAGTAATTCCGTGAATTTTCAATGCACGTTCGTTTTGTAAAAAAATTAATAGATGCGCATAATTACAGTTGGTTCTTTTTTTTCTGATTTTTCTTTGTTCTCTTCCCGTTACTGTCTTTCCTTGTACGGTTTGGATCACCTCCTTGCATGTTCTACATTCCTATTAACGAGTCGCAATTTTTATCCTGGGATCATATTCTCGACAGATGGCGTTGATCGAACGCCGGTTATCCTTGACTGTGACGTCACAGAGTGGGCCAAGTTCAAATGTATTAGGAGACCAGCCCGTTTATTTCACGCTCCTCTGCCAACTTTCGGCGGCTTTTGGTCAAAACATGTTACCTAACAGGCACTAAGTGGTCGCACCACCAATTTTTCTCATATACATGAATAAATTTACTTGTAATATTTAATTTTATCGTCAACAATCTTGCACAATTCTCGTATTTTGTGTAAAAAAAAAAAAAAAAATAAAAATAAAAATCCACTGTATTTACAGTATGCATATATATTTCGAAGGTTGCAGCACTCCCGCGATTTCAAGCCACTGGACATTAGCAACAGATTCTATTGTACTCTTCGTCAAACTTGATCGGTAGTAAATAACGCAAGAATCACGTTTCATTAGAGAGCAAAATAGGTGTTTAATTCCAATTTTCGAGTTACATCGAGAATATATACAAAAAGAGACGAACACTGCGAGACGGATACATTTCTCAACATTTTATTATTGAATTCTTCTCATTGCACATATACATTATTGTTACAAATTACTCTGCTGCATCTACACGAACGTTACATATTACTAATAATATCGTATAGAAATATTACAAACAGGTACAAAAGCTACACTACTTCCTTATTGTACGTTTCCTTAGTTACTTTTACTATGGATTATAAAAAAAAAAAGAAAGAAACAATCGTTTAAAATTCAACCCTTTATCGATGGAATAATTTTCAAATCGAAATCTTGTTGTTTCGAAATACTATATTTCAGTATTTTACTTCATTTATTTATTTTAGAAAACTGAAAAAGAGTTGAAAAAAGTTCCTTCGAATGGAATGCAAATCCCGCACAAGTCAATTTCCAAAGTTCAATCAAATGGATCAATATATTTTCATCACAATGGACACTATCTGTTATGTACAATATTCCTAATTAAAAAGTTTGTTTATCACTCCACAGCTGTTTAATGTGAATATACATTTTCTTTTTATTTTTGTTCTTTTTCTACTGAACATCTTAATTCAAGAATAAAATACTTTATTCAAGAGTAAAATACAGATTTGTATCTGTAATTTGTAAATTTGTTACCCAGCTGGCGAATCGTATAATACTTTCACGTTACATATAATAAAAAAAAACTTGATACTTCAATCAGACCTCTAATTTATCATATATGTTATATATATATATAAAGAGATCTTTGAAACAATGGTAAAAATCCTGTAATATTTTGACCACTTGTTGGCAGTGATATTTCCCACGTGATCTCACACAAGGAACAAGTAGAATGAAAAAATCCTGGTAAAATTTGTGTTCCACAATCGAAAAACACGATAAATAGCATAATTTTCATACCACAAGTACTGATTTATGCCATATTATTGTGTACTTTTATTCACATATTTAAAAACTTTACACATGTTAATCGAGGTTTCAACCAAAGAACAACTCACAATTTAATTTCGTATGTTCTTATTTAAGAGGCTTGGAGTTTTGGTTAATATGAACCGCAAGATAAAATTTCATTCAATGAAAAATTTGAACGCTTTCAAAGTAAAACAACCCAAACGTAGCTTGTCAGTTCGTAGTTCGCTATCAATGAGAATACTTTCTTGATAATACTAAGCTTCTTTCATATACGGATTCAATTACTCGAAGGCGATTACACACTATTCGTATAAAGTTTTCTTTTAATTACAAAGAGCCTAAAAAAGTGACATATACACACTTGCATTTATCATCCGATTCTCGCAGCACCTACAGCTGAAAATGCATTAAAAAAATACATCCATTGTAATCATGGCATTCTTCAAGGTGTACACGAGCCAAAAAATAATGTCTAACGTCAGATTTTTTTTTTACCTCGTAACAGTGACGTTTACCCGTTTGTCGAGATCAGTGTATTAAATTAATAGATGCTTAAGTTAGACGATCAACTAAAATAACGAAATATGTAATTCTACATAGTTTTTTTTATTTGCCCTTAAAGTATCAAGTCTGTGAAGAAATTGATGCGTCTTACATTAAATATCTTACTGTTAATTTCTACAAAATGCTCATTTTTTTTCTTTTAGTGAAAAAAAAACACTTACTAAATATCCATCCATGTACAATCATTCTCTTAAAAAAAAAAAAAAAAAGTTTATGCCATTATAAATCATATGCCTCGGTCAAAATTCATTGATGCGTATATGTTAGAAATAAAAGTATTTACAGCAACTGTACAAAAATATTCGTTAAGCAAAATCTTTACAGACAGCCAACAGAAAAAGATATACAGGGTGTTTCGTAAACTTGTGGGACCCACTTCGGTTGCTGATTGTACGCCTAAAAATAATGAAAAAAAGTCACATAAATATATGACCTATCTGTCTTCGTTTATGAGATATAATGAATTTTCTGTTTTAATTACTTTTACAAAAGATGCTCAAAATGACTACCTTGCATTTGAAGACAAGCCTGCACGAGTCTTGTCATTCATCTGGTTATTCTCTCTATCATTCCTGGTGTTTCTCGAATTTGTCAGAAGCCTTGCTCTATTCTATTTCGTAGTATTTCAGCATTTTCAATCGATAGTTGCGTATATAATAGATTTTAAATGTCCCCACAAATGAAAATCTAATTTGCAGGCCATGCAGTAGGACTTCCACGACCAATCCATTTATTTGCAAAGTGTTGATTTAAAAATTGCCTAAAAAGGTCCAATTAAAAATTTATCAATTATTCCTGCCCATACGTTTAAACTAAACTGGTGTTGATGTCTTGAATGCAGAATAACATGTGGGTTTTCTTCATCCCAATTATGATTATTATAAAAATTGAATATACCATCCCTGGTAAAACTAGCTTCATCAGTGAAAAGTATGGTAGACACAAAACTCTCTTCACGTTCACACATTTGCAGGAACCAAGTACAAAAAACGAAAAATATCAAGTAAGTATTATTTGTAAACAGTGCGAATTCTTGCTTACGAACTATTGCGGTCTATGGAAAGAGAGGCCGGACAGAGAGTTTGCTCTGTTTATGAAATTCATTATATCTCACAAACGAGGATGATAGGACATATATTTATATGACTTTTTTTCATTATTTTTAAGCGTACAATCAGCTCCCGAAGTGGATCTCACAAGTTATAAAACACCCAGTATACGTACAAGTTAAATATATAAACTTAAACTCTTAACACGATTGGTCCCATGTTTTCGAATCTTCTTTCCGTTTTCTTTTCTCTTCCTTTTTTTTTTTCTCAAATTTCATTGGATAAAAAAGAAAAGCAGCCTTTGTACACCTTAAAGCAATATCCTACAACGTCTACGCGAGACGAAGCTACTGTAATCGGTGTAAAACTAGTTTGTAAAAAGACGATGCTCATTATTATTTACAGGTTTTTTCGATCGAATCTACCTCGAACATCTCATTAATATTAAAATTTACAAATTAAATTTTTGAACCTCTCTACGTTTAGAATATGTCGCTTCTTTTATACATAAATGCGTGTGAATATAAAAACATATATCTGCATTTACGAAACACATCCGAGATAAAAGGAAAGATATAAAATGCTACGATGATGCAGATCAGATTCTTCTCGTATAATTAGATATTGGTACAATGGTACATTAAAATTCGCAATTTAAGTGAATTGAGACATTACGCACAATTACGTATGCATTGCCGATTATTTTTAATAACAATTTTCTCCGATGTGTTTTCATAGTGACACAGTTTCAGTTTAGTAATTTACGCCGCAGCATTTAAAACAATATTGGGAATATGTTTTGTATCTTAAAACGTACAAAAAGCAGATTTAAGTGAATTGTCCCTTTTTTCCTTTTATTCTCGTGACGAACGACTAAAAAATATACATATAGTCATTGCTTAAAAAAATAATTACATTCTCGACGTGAAAGTTACCTAGTTCCACTGGCCTAAAACTGAATATCGAGGAACGTTTCAGTACTATGCTTAAATTAAATTTAAAAAAAAAAAGAAAAAAGAAAAAAAAAAGAAAAAATACTAAAGAAGCAATGAAGAACGAAATGAAAGAAATTGAAAACTTAAGATACTAATAATAACTCAGGTATACGTACGATTCCCAAGTTTCTACATATACTACAAAATTTTACAAATTCAGATTTTCTCCTATAGCTCGCTTTGTACTCTACCTGGTTATGCGAATCTAAGTAACTTCATATTTGTCAGGTATACAATTGCGTAGAAATTTACAATTATTACTTAATCCTGCAATGTATAAAAAAGTATAATACATCAGTCTGGCCATTCGCTGACCAAAATACTTATCGATCTACATTATTACCCCTAACGTATTACACTTATTTTTTTTTTCTTTTTCTCCGTCTCTATGTCTTGCAGCAGCAACATGAATTACGTAGCAGCTACACATCAATCATACGTAAAAAAATTGAAGGAAACTGGATACATTTGAATCTATTTTGCATGTTGATTAAAAAAAAGAAAAAAAAAAAACTGAATGATTCAAATCCATTTACGATTGTGATGAATATAATAGTCGTTTGACCACCGTCAATAGAAAATATTTGATACAAAAATATTCCTTCTTTCTTTCCAGAAGATTCGTAGAAGAAATCGAAAGACAAAAAAACTACCAAATTGCTACCCAAAAATTATGGGATGGAATCACGTGAAACAAATCAAGTATATAAATAAATATACAATTAGTAAATTGAATGAAAAATCAATGACACAATAGCATTACTTTTTAAAACTAATACATTTAGCGTTCATTTATTTCTTCTCAGAAGACTCGCATGTTATCGAACTAGATAATCATCCAGAAGCGACGCGTTCTCGCGTGAAAAATTACAATTGGTTGCATAATTATAGCAGTCGAGTATTATAGAAAAATAGAAAAAGGTGTAACTTACGCAATAAATTCTTCTCAAAGCGCTTCTCGACAATTCTCTTAGTATTGTGTATAATACGAAAGTCCTCTGTGTATCGTCGCTTAATCCTAATATTCTGTTATATGACAGAAACTCGCATTTTACAAGTAAATGAAATGGAGAATAGAATAGTAGGATTACTGATCGTATTAAGAAAATGAACATGAAAGAAAAGAAAGAATAGACTAGGAGATCGGAATATTTCTTGCGTATCAACTATTTTCCTGAAATGTTGTACTTGACGATTGTATATGTATCTACATGGATACGTATAAAATTAGCGATTTATAATTAGACGATAAACCCAAGTTTAATCGATCTTAAGAAATGAGCTGTTCCCCGTTCCGGCTCGTACAAGAACAGGTGCTTTTCTTCGCGTAGTAGCCACTGGTTGATACACGTAATTCCCTTGGATCGCACCGGTTAATGTCTTTTGCCTTTTCGTATTGGAACTCAGCTCGTATTCGAACGGTTCTTGCTTCGAAATATTTAGATGCATGTGCAACGCCTCCTTATTGTCCTCGATGTCAATTTCGTCATAAAGATGCTCGTGAATATCTACATCACAATCTTGGCTACTCTCGTCGTAACTATCTGTCACCGAATTTGCAGTTATATGACCGTGAATAGATTCCTCGTACGCCGTGCTTTCTTCGACCGCCTCGTCGCCAGAACTCTCCGTTTCTTCAGACACGTCGCCGTTGCCTGCGTACTTCATTTCACCCCTTTCAAGCAGTTCCAAGTGGTCTGGATATATCATTGCTTTTTTAATAGCTAGAGGATCCTTTCTAGACCATTTCTGCACCTCCTCGTCCATTTTTGCTATCTTGGCAGGATTAATAGCCCACAAACAGCCTTTCCTCTGGTTCCCATTGCCAGCTGGCTTTTCAATTTTCTCGAAACACTTGTTCAACGATAAATTGTGCCTGACTGAATTCTTCCAGCCGTTCGGCGCAGTTTTAAAGTATGGAAAATGTTCGCTGAAACACAATTATCATATTTTTATAAGAAATATATACGTGTATAAATTTTAATAAACAAACATATATGAATAATAAATAAATAAACATATATAAATTTTTATAATTTACTAGTTTATATTTTATTACTACTTTCGAACAAATATGACTGTCAAAGCATTATTGTAGCAATAGTGTGGGCAACGAGTTGCAGCAAGGGGGAATCGAGGCTTGTTAAACAAAGAACAAGCTCCATATTTTCTATGGGGACTGTACCCCTGGCATGCACCTGGAACTCCAAGGGCCCCATACAAAATGGCAGCTTCCCCTTGTATAACCTGGGAATAAAGAAAGGAGGACAATACTTTTTCCCCTCGTGGGCCAAGTACCGGAGGGTTTCGACCAGCCCTTATCCTTCCGGCCAAATGGCCGAAAATAAGCGGCTGGCGACGTATCGTTTGTCATGTAGGAATCTGCTCTATTGTTCGTTACGTATCAAAAAAAAAAAAAAAAGAAAGAAAAATGTTAATCTCGCTTTTCTACAAAAGTATCTTCCCCTCCCCCCAATCTCGCTTTGTCAATGAAAATTTGCATTCCACTTCCCTTGATTTGTGTAACGTTTGATGTTCACATACAGATAGTTGCAATATCTTTTCATCGAGTTCAAATTCCTACTTACCACATAAAATTATAGATCTCAGAGACGGGCAAAGAGCCCGTTTGGCTGTTTTTCAACGCCATCGCTATCAGACAGGAGTAAGAATAAGCCGGTTTAGGGTAGGGCTTGTCATCGTAGTCCGACAGATCGAACTCCTTCTCTCTTTTCACCGCAGTGACGGCGGTCGCTCCCGGATTGATGTGCACGTTGTTGTTGTAAATCTGCTTGCGCACGTGCTGAGGCGTCTGATTGGGGCTCTGCAACACTTTGAAATTCTGAATCCTGATGCCGGGCATGTCGTTCATCTTCGGGATGGTCTGCGCCTTCGTGTATTGAGGGGAGACCGCTTTAGCAACGGATATCGAGATTGTTTTCAAACTGGACGGAGGTATTGACTTCGAGACTTCCTGCTGCTCATCCTCGGACTCCTCCTCTGTTTCAGTGATATCGTTCTCGTACTGTTCCGTCTCGGAGTCGTTCTCGATCTCGTTCTCCTGCTCGTTCTCGTTGTCGTTCTCATTTTCGTTCTCATTTTCATTCTCGTTCTCATTCTCGTTCTCGTTCTCGTTCTCGTTCTCGTTCTCCGTGTAACTGCTGCCCTCGTTCTCGGCTTCCTCCTCGACGTCGATCTTCCCCTTCGCGTCTTTCTTCGGCGAAAATGAAAAGTGTCTCCTACCGTTGTTCGGCGTAGGACTTCGAACCGCTATGTGAGGCATCACCGAGTTGGGATTCACCATGATAGAGGCCGCGTCGCTTCCGTTGAGATCAAGATTAAAATTGCTGAAATCGAGGAGTTCAGTTAGCCCTTAGCACGCTATCAGTGTTTCTTCTGCTACGTTATATTTAATTGGGATACCTATTTGAACTGTTGCTGTTCCCATTGAGCAAACTAGTGGGACCAAACCATCCACTGATGTCGTTGTGACATCCAATAGGATCGTCGTCCATTTCTAAGCTGGACATGTCGGTGATATTGAAGCCCAGCTCCGTGTGACCGCCGATGACACCTTCGATTTCGCATTTGATGTCGACGTCAAGCATCTCTTGCAGGGATAGACTGTCCGTACCGAGATAGTAATCCATGGTGAGCCAAGGGTCCCTCGTCGGTCCCTGAACCAGCCCAGTACCGTGTCTACTCTCCGTATCCAACATTCACCTGACTGAAAGCACACCGGCACATCGACTTTTTACAATTTTACAATTATACCATTCTGTACATCGTAATTCTTATAATTGTTGTAATTATAATTATTAATCGTTATCGTTCGAATCATTCGAAATCGGCTTCTCATTAGATGCTCCATGCATAATTCCACGACTCCGTCGAGCATGATACTTCGCCCACGCGAGCTAGTTTTACAATTCGAGTCGGTTAATATACGAGCTGTCTAAGAAGAAAATTTGCAAAATATTACGCGACACGTTAACGATCGGAAATATTATTTTCACGAGCCTAAAAGACCCTCGATGGTCGAAGCCAACGGCTACTACCCGTCTGGTGTTTTTTTTTATTTCTGTAAATTGAAAGGCAAACAGAACGTAAAATACCGTCGCTCTGGTATTATTGCCCTTAGAAACGTCCAGTCGGTAAATTTCGATGATTTTATCGGATCTAAGGATCATCCTCACGATCTGTTGTAGCAAGGCCAATAGATTCTCGACCGTGTCCGTACCCGCGTGACCTCGCGTGAGCGCGCGCGCAAGAGCGTGTACAGTGTGTACGAGCGCGCAACGAGGGTCTTGAACCCACAACCAGCTTGTGGGTGTGACTGACTCATAGTACTATAGTCGATTTACTATAGAACGCGTGGACTCGTAGTATATGTCCCCCCGTGCTCTCGCTCTCCTCTCCCAACCCCACTCTTGCTCATTTAACTATTCCACTCCGGCCTCTCTTTGTCAGCTACGCGTTCCGCACCGTCGAGTTCTCTCTCTCTCTCTCTCTCTCTCTCTCTTCCCCTCCCTCCCTTTGCGCCGCAATTCCCATGTTTCTCCCTTGTTCATTCTTTCTGTTCCATTCTCCGTCTCCGTCAAATTGATTCGTTCGGTCTTCGTCCGAAGACCACGCGAAGAAACCCGGTCTGTTCTACTCTTTGATCCCTTCTTCGCTCGTCTTTACCCAGTGCCACGTGTTTTTATTTGTTAACATTCTTTCCATGCGTTTTTTCTTTTTAGACTCTACTGAAATCGATCATCGTTTTTTTTCTTGCGTGAAGGAATCTGAAGCTCCTGTAAACAGAATCGGCCCTAATTTCGCAGTAACATATATATATATATATATATATATATATATATCGTCCCTCCTCTCCTCGAATAGAAACTCGAGGAGCAGCAAGTGTGTCTTAAAGATATAGCTAAAATTTCAACATGTTAATTCTAGTGGCTAATTTCAACATGTAAATTCTAATGGCTGATGAAAATTCAGATGTTAATGAAATATATATTTCGCAGAAAAGAAGAGAAATTATCGTGATATAGTGATCTCTTGGATATTTATGATATTTACAAACATCAGAAATAATTTTTTCACGACTTACTACATTTGAATTTCTAATTTTTACAATTTATATTAGGATAAATTTGTATTAATTTTTACAATTTACATTAATATAAATTTTACATCAATTTTTACAATTTACATTAATATAAATTTTACATCAATTTTTACAATTTACATTAATATAAATTTTACATCAATTTTTACAATTTACATTAATATAAATTTTACATCAATTTTTACAATTTACATTAATATAAATTTTACATCAATTTTTACAATTTACATTAATATAAATTTTACATCAATTTTTACAATTTACATTAATACAAATTTACATCAATTTTTACAATTTACATTAATATAAATTTACATCAATTTTTACAATTTACATTAATATAAATTTACATCAATGTTTACAATTTACATTAATATAAATTTACATCAATGTTTACAATTTACATTAATATAAATTTACATCAATTTCATCGCAAATGCACGTGTCACACCCATTCAGTGCAGCCCCTGTCTAATAAACTCTGGCGCGAGTTTACGTTTCGTCAGTTATCTATCTTCTAATTTTACATACTTTCTTCATTTAATATTTCCCGCTACGAAGAAACCCTTGTTCCTCTCGTCAGTTTCCGTTGGTTTGACGAGCTCGAGCATACGAAGTTCTGGTTTACCGAACAGGCCACTTAAACTCGAGAGTTCAAGTACATCCAGAAAATCTACTACATATATCCAGACATTAAATTATCAGAATCAGAATGCAAGAGAGACCTAAACTAACCAAGTTATTACGTGTCTATATACACTGCAACTCGAGACATCAAACCCAACCTATCAAATCCAATGAAAAATATCGAGTTCGAATCAGCTGCAAGAAAAAAAAAAAAAAAAAAAAAAGAAAGAAAGAAAGAAAGAGAAAGAACAACCTCTCTAAAAATACCTGCGCAGAGTGAAAGAACTAGACGCGGCTGAATTATCGGCCGCGAACACGAGAGAAAAGAGAGACACAAACGGAGAGAACTGACCCTGCCTGACGTATGTATTTTCTATGGTAGTGGTTGGCTGGCCTTTACGCGCGCACGAGACATTCAAGCCTACGTGACTGAACGATATTCTTAGACGTGAAAGTGTAATGGAACTTCGCTTGATGCACTTACACCTCGAGAGGGCCTCCCCCTCCCCCACCGGGTGTTTCAACACATCCGCGTCATTTTCTTATGAATAACGTTTCGCGCCGCGCACGGTTCGCATAAGTTTATCGGGAAAATTAAAATAATAATTCCCGAGGGGAGAAGAGGAGGTGGAACGAGTTGGTTTCTCGGAAGCGAGCAGCAGGTCAACGTGCACGTAAAGAAGTTCCGTGTAAATACTTGCACTTGCAACTACAAACGAGCACCCGGAGCTGCGCGCGTTTACACCGAGAATTCCATGAAATCTGCGGTTACGTGCAATCCTATACGCGCCGTTTGGATTATCTATGCATGATGAACATACCGGAGGGGGGGAGGGAGTTGTTCGCCGTCTGCCGGCGAAATTTTCGCACACGATTCCAAAGCGCAGGGGAGAGACTAGTCTCACTCCAGCCGGTCGATGAGAAAATGGGGAAAAAGAAGAAATGAAACAACGTCGGAGGATGGGTCATCGACCTTGTCGAGATCAACAAGCGGCTGCATTTATAAAACGATACGTTAATCTCGCCGCGTGAGAATCCTTTTCGCGGCAGAAGAGATTTTAGTTTAGAACCGCTTTCCGCGCCGATGAACTCCCGTTTTTTTGGAGTTACTCAATTTCTTTCGCGTCCTAAAAAAAAAAAATATACATGTATGAAACAAACTGCCAGGAAAATTTAATTGCACGTTAGTGTCCGTTTTTTTTTTTTTTTTTTATTAACCGCTTGCGCTGGCAACTGATTGCGGACCATAACGAGTGACCAAAACCGTGTAACAATAATTCGTCGCTTTCTTTTTGAACACGTCGGTATGACATCGCTGGATAGAAATGATCGAGAAGTAATAAATTTATTATTTGTTTTGCCTATTCTGTTTTAAATATATAATTATATATATAATTAAATATATAATTAAATATATAATTTTACTTATTATAACATGTTATGCTATAATATACAATATGTTATAACATAACCTATGTTATGCCTAATATAATATATATTCTAGTTAAATACATTGACATTTAGTGTGTTTATTGTTAAACTGTATTACAGATTAAAGCTGTATTAACTTTTGAATTAAATAAAATTTTCTACAGTGTCAGAAAACGACATTACTTATAGATATTCTTAACTGCTTGCGCTGGCAACTGATTGCGGACCATAACGAGTGACCAAAACCGTGTAACAATAATTCGTCGCTTTCTTTTTGAACTCGTCGGTATGACATCGCTGGATAGAAATTATCGAGAAGTAATAAATTTATTATTTGTTTTGCCTAGTCTGTTTTACTTAAATATATAATTTTACTTATTATAACATGTTATGCTATAATATACAATATGTTATAACATAACCTATGTTATGCCTAATATAATATATATTCTAGTTAAATACATTGACATTTAGTGTGTTTATTGTTAAACTGTATTATAGATTAAAGCTGTATTAACTTTTGAATTAAATAAAATTTTCTACAGTGTCAGAAAACGACATTACTTATAGATATTCTTAACTGCTTGCGCTGGCAACTGATTGCGGACCATAACGAGTGACCAAAATCGTGTACAATAATTCGTCGCTTTCTTTTTGAACACGTCGGTATGATGTCACTGGATAGAAATTATTGAGGAACAATAAATTTATCATTTGTTTTGCCTGGGTTATACTTAAATGTAGTTAAAATTGAGAAAATATTGCAATTCTGGGACAAAAAGTTCTCGACGTGTGTGGCACGTCATTCCAGCGCAAGAGGTTAACATTGAATGTTGAAAATTCTTTTTTGAGAAGAGAAATAAATATTTACGAATATAATGCATGTTTCATACTTGAAAATGCACGTGGCTAAAATCACTTGCCATTCGAGAATCAATTATGTACTTTTAATTAACACATTCGCATCATATGTATATTTAAGTATTTGGTTATTTCTTATTACATACTGAACTCGTGCAATTTTTGATGATAATTGTAACATCATTTGTGCTATAAACCATGCAAAAGAAACAATATAATTTACATGCATATTTAAGTTACAAAGAAAGTTATAAAAGTTTGTTATTATAAAAATTATAAAAATTTAAATTATAAAGAAAAATTGAGAAATGTTGGAGTTTTGTTTTATTGCAAAACTGAAATTGAAATATTGTTGGATATCGTGCAAAGGAATAACACTGTATGATTACCGAAGTTTGTTCCATTACTACTCTAGTGGACTTGAGAGTCGTGCAGAATGACTGCAGAACTATCGAAGAGCTATTATAAAAGGACTGCATAACATCGCCATAAAGCATCTCTTTATGTTTTGATTTATTGCAGAAAAAAGGACTAACTAGTGAATTTCACTTTGAAGCAGAGACTGAAAACCGAAATATTTTGAGGTTTAGGTATTATACCTGTAAACTGAAACCGAAATACTGTGAAGTTTAGGTATTATACCTGTAAACTGAAACCGAAATATTGTGAGGTTTAGGTATTATACCGGTAAACTGAAGAAATATTATGAGGTTTAGGCATTATACCGGTAAACCGAAATATTGTGTATACAGGTATTTGGGAAATTGGTTTTAATCCCGAAATATTGTGAGGTTTAGGCATTATACCGGTAAACCGAAATAATGTGTATACAGGTATTTGGGAAATCGGTTTTAATACCAAAATATTGTGAGGTTTAGGCATTATACCGGTAAACCGAAATATTGTGTATACAGGTATTTGGGAAATTGGTTTTAATCCCGAAATATTGTGAGGTTTAGGCATTATACCGGTAAACCGAAATAATGTGTATACAGGTATTTGGGAAATCGGTTTTAATACCAAAATATTGTGAGTTTTAGGCATTATACCGGTAAACCGAAATAATGTGTATACCGGTATTTGGGAAATCGGTTTTAATACCAAAATATTGTGAGGTTCAGGCATTATACCGGTAAACCGAAATAATGTGTATACCGGTATTTGGGAAATCGGTTTTAATACCAAAATATTGTGAGGTTTAGGCATTATACCGGCAAACCGAAATAATGTGTATACCGGTATTTGGGAAATCCGTTTTAATACCGGTATATACTGGTATGGCTTTCCTGACGAAAACACATTTTTCATTTTCTACGTACAATGACTCTTACTAATATTCGGACATCATGCTATTCAAAATATTGTTGTGGATTTCGATTGTTTATAATAGTAAATTTGGATTAATAATCTTCTTAATAATAGAACATTCATTATAGTTCATAGTAATATAAATTTTATTTATTTATTGTACATTTTTCTGCTGTTGGGAAAACTCGGTTCCCATCTCGGACATCCCTAACTGGCCGAGTCATTTTTGGATTTTAACCGATTAGATTTTTTCATAAAATTGCGCCGCCTACTCCTTGCGTTCGTAACGCGCTTTCGAAAATGGGACTTCGCAATTTTCTTTCGAAAATTCTTTCTTTTTTCGAAAGTGCAA